AACAGCGAGAATGCTCGACTGCACCATCATTTACCCACTTGTTTCATTCAACCCCAGTCATCTGTCCATGTGTACTATTCCGTATACAATTTGTATCAATAATCAGAAAGCAAACAACACTTGTACGAGTCTCGATATCGAGTGCTGCCTCCGGATGCACCAAAAATTAATAAATCATTCGGTATTCCGCGAGTGATTAATGCGTTTGAGGAGCCACCCAAAGATCAAATGTGCTTTTTCATGTTCAATCACTTTCCCAAATTCTTATTCAACTCATTTCAATCAATTCAATCAATTACTGGCACTTTACAATTTCCCGCTGAGTAAAGTCTCCAATTTTTATCATGAACGATAATAATTTCAGATTCCAAATTTATGCGGTAGTAACGGTTGTTTTTACAGACAATTCCAGAAGTTTAAATGAATAAGAAAATGTCAATGCATTATTCAACTTGATATCTAATTTCTGCCATCGAAGATGGTACAGAGAAGTAATAAGGAGTAATAGCTCAGAGATGATCAGCCCGAGGGAATCGAGCATACGATGTGCGTGGACAAATCAGTGATAGCAACACCCGATTGAAATTGGGTCATCCAATGAGCAACTACACCCGTTAGGTATTCAGTGGGAATTTGTCCCCTTGGACTGCCGTCGGGTACCTCTGGATTTGTTTTCCATTTTTTTTTTTCCTCTGAATACACATGAATACATACACACGCTCTTGACACACCACGAGCCCAGGGGGCGACAAAAGGCAATCGGGGCCAATGGGCTAGTCGGGAACACCAAGCAGTACACACTGCTCCATTTGATTGACGTTCGAAGGGTGCTGGTGCGCGCGTTGCATTGATTGCACTCATTGTTCCCATATTCAGATATCCGGCTAACTGCTGCTCTCTGTTACCTCTCCAAATGCATTATCGCATCTATTTCTTCAATAATATCGGTGTATTCCTTGGGAAATAATATTTTAAGTGGTGATATCTGATCATCCAAAGTCTCAATCAATCGTCATTACGCCCTAACGGGTCGAGGCGATAGAAAAAAATCATTAAAAAAATTATAACCGAGTCTTTGGGGGCGGGAAGGGCAGGGAAGGGGTGGGAAGGGGTGGGAAGGAGCGGTAAAAGGCGAAAGGGTGTGGAGGAGGCAGGAGAAAGTTCTGTACATTAATCAATAAATTCAATGATAAAGAACTCATTACTTCTTCATCCCAAGTACTCCAAACCGTGAAACATGAAAGCTTCCATGTTCTTTCAAATTTACATCCCCAATTCTCTCCCTTATTCTCTCTCCATTTTCTTTCTTATTTTTTTCATGTCTCCCCTGCACTTCCCTCGTTTCATGCAGATGCACGTATAGAGGTACTCGTTGTCTCATCCACGGAATGCCTGAAGGCAACTTCCGTCTCCCCTTTATATTCTAGTAGATCCACGGGTTGTACGTCCGCCCGGTCGATTATTCATGGACGACCTACGACATAAGACAGAGTCTCTATTGGTGAATACAATGCGATCCGTAACTTTGTGACTTTTCCCATTCACTTCTGAGGACCTTTCCAAGTCAGCGAACTCCGTGGACTTTGCATTTTAAAAAACTTTTGATATTTAACTGGAAAAACTGAGGGAAAGTTGAAATTGGTGGTGGTGAAAAATTGGAAGATTTCCTGGGAAATAGCGAGTGATGAATGGATGAGTTATAAAAAAATAATCATTCATTTTTCTCCCAGATTTTATGACATGGGAGGGACTTCAGCTGGCGTATACATCTACACACGCAAATGCCTATAAAAGGACGTGGAAAAACAATTGTATGGAAAAAGTAGAGCACTTTATTTTCATCTGAGTTGAATAAGTGCTGTACATTTCCCTTTTTAAAAAAAGCATGTAACGTTTTTGGCAGCTTTTTCGGCGGATAGCTAAGCTGTGCATCTCATAATATATATATATAAAATATAATATAATATACCATTTCAATAAAATAATGATTTGTCTAAAATAAGAAAAAAAAATATATTTATCAATTGAATTTGATTAAAGAAAAAAACATAAATTATGGGTAATTTTTTTAGATATCCGAGTAAAAAAAAATTGTAATCGGAATATTTCTTCGAAATTTTCCAAAACAAATTTTTGAAAAATTTTTCAAAACATTCCCTAAAAATACAATTGTTTTGTTCCCCGTTTTGTTTTTTGTTTCAAAAAAAAATTTCTGAAAAGTTTTCTAGAAATTTTTTGAAAATCTCGAAAAAATATTTCGATTACAATTTTTTTACCCGGGTATATTTGAGCTTCTTGGAATATTTAGATTTTAGATGTCAAATGATAACACTCGCTAGTCTTTCATAAAAACATCGCAATAATGGAGAAGAAATGGAGATAATAACTGATCATTATTCATCCATACAAATAAGCCATTGCCGTAGTACAGGAATGGTCGTTCAACTCAATTCTTTCACACATCCATGGCTAAACTTTTTGGATGGTGAGGTCGGGACTCGTGTCTCCTTCCACCGTCGACTAAGCAACTTTGTGAACTTATCGAACTTGTTGCCTCCAAGTTATCTCTTCCCCCAGTGCACGATGCCATGGAAAGTATTGCACTGAGACGATAAAGTTGGATATGTCCGGGGGTACCACTACACTTCTAATAGTTTCTCCAACGTTAACTCAACTCCAGTGATCAGACTTGTTGCCTATCCCTGGAAAATTCTTGTTGCACCAGTTGGTCCCGGAAAATTCAATTAAAACATAAGATAAAAAGAGCATGAGAAAAACAGTCAAATTGCAAAAGCTCTCAGCCCCCCCAAAGTGGAAGACTCACCTGGAGACTCTTGGGACGCATATTTCATGCTTCAACTATCGTCTAAGAAGCTCAAATGATTATGCAAATTACCAGTAATGTCTTAAACGCAAACGCTCTTAAGAGTTTCGTCTCAAGAGGTGCTACAATTCCCCCTTAACCCGACTCCCCAAGACAGAAATAATCAATTGCTCCGTTTTTTAGAGCTCAATGGATTCTTGGCGAGCCTTAAAACAGCCGAGATGTTTCGATACTCCTCTAAAGCGGAACAATTGAAATGTTTACATCGACATTCGAGAAATACGCAAAAAGTAAAGCACTAATGGTGCTCTCCACAAAAGACGTAGGGGTGGGAGATAAATACGGAGACAAGTACAGACTAACGACAACAAAAGATGACAGAGAGAGAGAAAACTTGAGATCGTGGTATCGATGGTTGACCACATTTTCGTCAAGAGTTACATTCCCCCCTTTTTCCACCCCCCGATTTTGCGAGGAAAAAGCCGGATCAAATAATTGCGGTCCTGATCGACTCAGCAAATAGACTCTTTCCTTCCTTAAACTCTGTCTTACTTGCTCACGATTCAGTTACTGTATATCAGGGTGCTTTCCACGTACTTCTGTGAAGAATTCTTAGTCTCGTCTGCCCTTTGGAAACTACTGTGCACGATTCAATCATTCAACCTAGACGCCCTTTGCTTCACAACTGCGCGACCCAGTTTGTTCCGCCTATCGACTCCGTTTTCCGTTTGCACTCGAGAACTCTAGCACTACTGATACTGCTTTTTTTTTTCACCTCCTACACAGGCGAAACTAGACACTTCGTCCCTTTCCAATTCGATGTACCTCGGGTATCTCGCGAATTTTATTTGAATTTATGCATCACGTTTGGGTTTATAATTCATTCCGGTTGAGTTTCTCGTCCTCTCGATGATTTTGAATTTTCAACACCTCTTTCTGGTATCGTTTACACAAAGAAAATAATCATTCATAAATAATCATTGAAATGAGTACAATCTATATTTATTTTGAATATATTTCTATAATATATTTTTCTGTGGATTCGTAAGGAAAAATTAAATTAAATAAGATATCATCAAATCATCAAATGAAGCGATGAATATTGTATAAAATATCGGGAATTCGGTAGGACTTGTTAAAAATTTTAATAAAATCCTAGATTTGATTCAGATATAACTCTCTAAATCTGACTGACGACGCCTCGATTTTCCGTTCCGACGAGCTGCTCCTGCACGTACATTTTGAACGAAGACGAATCGGCCAGTGAATTCGATTGGAATCTATCGGGTGCTACCTTTGACTTGGGGAACAGACGACAATGTGAAAGGAGCATGGAACGCGGGTCTAGACGCCCCTACGACGTGACTAGTTCGTAAATTTCTTCACACAGACATCACCAGCCATTTTTATGAATATATCGAAGAGCCATTATATATTTTCCCCAAGAGTGGCTGCAGCGATTGCCAGGCGGCTCCAAAAACTTGGAAAGAAACACGAAATCTAAAATAAAAAATGAAATCAACGTCGTGTCTATCTCTTTATTTCGCAGCTCGAGCATAATGTTCTTCACGAATCGCTGAAATAGTTTTGCGAGAAAGCGCAAGTGGCTGAATTCGAATACCTCCTTGAAAATATAAGCCAACATTGAAATACGAGATTTCTCTATGAAATATTCTCAGTATGGAATGCCTTTTGAATTTCATTTCTGCAGGCATACCTATTGCATCGTTCTCACTCCCGCATATCTCGAGGATGGTGGAAATATGCATCACAAAAGACGAAGAAATTCCACGAGGAGTTTCCGAGTTCTAGGCATCGCAGGAAAATTCTAACGTTCGGATACTTAATTGTTCCATTCATTCGTTTTACCCGCGACACAAGTCGACTTTGCTGACAAAAAATCTACCACTATTTTTTTCAAACTGAATGGTCGTTTCTTTTATGATAATTTCTACTTGAGGAAAAATACTACTCGTTTATATAATGCCACAAACTTGTAAAATTCATCTCATAACTTCCAATTAATATTAAATATTAATTATGAAGATGAATTACGCCAATGAATTGTCATTATTTGAATTATTTGAATGACTTTGGATATGAATTGGCCAATTTAATTAAACTGTGGTAAATGGGCTGTGTAGTTAATGAACTTTGATGATATTCTCATATACAGGCGTTGCTGCGGTGGTTTCCTCGGCCGGTGGTCACGGCTTCGACGCACATTTACGTGGACCAAGTTTTCTCATTGAGCCCTCATCAAGAGTTGAATTTTCAAATTCAAGTGGTGCCTGGTTAGACTGCGCAGCAACTGGCAATCCAACCCCCAACATCGACTGGTCAACAGCCGATGGTTTACCCGCGACCGATGTACCCGGTGTGAGGCGTGTCCTGAGAAATGGCACCCTCGTACTACTTCCGTTTCAGGCCGCAGCATTTCGTCAAGACGTACACAGTGCTGCATACAGATGTGTCGCAAGTAACTCGGTGGGTCGAGTACTTAGTCGCGACGTACAAGTACGGGCCAGTGAGTACAAAACAATTATTTTTACCCTACCACCACCTTTTATATTTCACCTCTTCTCACTCTCCTCTCGTGTCACATCGTGTACACGGTATAGCCGCAGACACAGCGTAATTACGAACACGGTGTGAAAAAGAATGCAATTTGAATGCAAATTTTCACGGCAACGAAAGGAAATACGTTGGCAACCGACACTTCCTTCACCGTTAAACATAAACCCACAAAACCCCGCAAACACCGACCTGTCGTCCATAATTAAAAGTTTACTCCTGCCTTTGATTCGCAAAGGGATTTTTTTTTTATTTACCAAGGTAGAAACGTTTTTGCCGTTGTTTTCACAATAGTTGGGGAACTGGAAAATTAAGCGGGTGAGGACGGGTCAGAATATAGCGGTGGAGGAGATATTTAATTCATTGGGAAAAACATTTAAATTCCCATAGCCAAGTGTACAATGGACTTTGAAATATACGGAGACTTGAAAAGGACAAGAATAAACGGTAAATGTATTGTCCAGGTCCACCGGAAACAATAATCATTGAAATAATCATTTTTCTGATGAAAAACACATTCGTATTCTCTCGGTGGACAGAAAACCAAGACAGAAGGGATGAAAAAAACAACAAGAAGACAAGTACATTGAAAAACAGTCTTGAGATAAACTTTGTTGTCCCTGAAATTTCTTGAACCCCTGTCTTCGCATTTGAAGAGACGAGTGAGTGATTTTATATTCAATTATATGCAATATTTTTGCAAGAAAAAATCAAGTGATTCTCAGACACATTCGGAGACATTCTTCCGGGTGATGTAATTACGACGGATAAAAGAAACGGTAGAAAGAAAATATTTGTATCAAGTACGGTACATCCGAGGAAAGAGGTGAATACCGCTGAATAAACAAAGTGAGATTTCGTTCTCTTGGGGAGGAAAACGTCGGGGAGAAGCCAAATAACAGGCTTTGTTTACGATTCCAGTTGTCGTGATGTAACAGCTTGACACCTTCGGTGACACCAACCATCACTCTTGGGGTCTGAGGTATCAGAACCTCACTCTGCTTGCTTTCCATATCTTTTTACGGGTAATGTTTACTCCCTCAACTCCGTGCTATTTTTCTATATTTTATTCCGAAGAGGGATCCTCTTGCGTGACACAACCATTTTAGGATTTCTACAGAATCCAAGTGCATCAGCCATCAACACAAACGCATTAAAATATATCATTTAAAATTGAGCTTGATTACTCATCAGTCATTTCTATTGATTTTTTTTTATAGATTAGTCATTTAATTATTTATCCTTCCGGGGAAAAAAAATTGTTATCGGAATATTTTTTCTGAATTTTCAAAAAATTTCTGGAAAACTTTTCAGAAATTTTTTTTTATGAAACAAAAAAAAATTTCCGAAACAAATTATTGAACAATTTTTCAAAACATTTCCCAAAAATACAATTGTTTTGTTTCCCGATTTTTTTTTTGTTTCACGAGAAAAATTTTCTACAAAGTTTTCCAGAAATTTTTTGAAAATTTGGAAAAAATATTCCGATTACAATTTTTTTTTTAATTGAATGCACGAAGGATCGCGATGATACAGCTCAATCTTGAATTTTATACAACAAATTAAAATATTATCTTATTGAAAATTTTTCTGATACATGCAAAACATATTTTACCGTGTCAAGAAGGACTTGGCAATAATGAAAAATTTATGCCCACAGTTGTGACCCAGGCGTATTCCGTCGACGTGGAAGTAGTCGAAGGGGTATCTCGAGGGTGTACAGCAATTTTGAGATGCGTAGTACCAAGTCACGTGAAGGATCTCGTAAGAGTTGTATCGTGGCTCCAGGAGCCATCATTCCACATATACCCATCGCTCCAAGGAGGTAAGTGTCCTACTCATAAAATTTCTGAAAAAAATTCTCCAGAAAGATGAATACTGATTAAGATAAGACGAATTTGTCGATTTCAAAAATTTTTCTTCACTCCACACTAGTTTCAACATTGACTAAGAGGAAATCAATCAACTTATGACCTAATTCCAGGAAGATTATCGAATACAGAATCAATAATTGAGATTCTTCCAGCCTCAATCTTGACACGTGATTTAACGAAGATAGGGAATAAATCCCAGGGTGGCACTTTTGATGAAATTATCCTCACTGAATAATCAAGCCCCTGGAATAAGTTATTCCAGTGAGGCTTGACGATCAATATCCTCCGAACATCGTCGGGTTCAACGTCCTCCAATCAATTCTTCCCCAATTCCCATGTTCTCTTAATGCTCCAGTCCTCTCCACATTTTGCATTGGATTTTGAACAGTGCTGAGAGCTTTTCGAGCTAGAGCGATAAGAGGAGTGGCATCAGAATACTTCATTCTATGGAAACTACCTCATTGCGCAGAAGATGAAAGTGGATGGAGGGAGGGAATAGAAAAAGGTAGGACAGATGGATGAGCAGAGGTGAGCGGGTGCTCGTTAGTACAGAATTCGTCTGTTTGAATCGTTTGTAACCATTGCAGTAATTCTGTAGTTAAGTTGGTACGTTTCACGTGATATCTGAAGTCGTTAGGTTGGATCTTTGCTAACAGCAATTCTCGATCTGCACTATTCATTCTACTGTGACGTACACTCAGGTATACCCTCCATCGATGTACCTTCAGCAATCACAAATGTTCAACTATTCATTCTCTCAAAGCTTAATATTCACTCGCGGGATTTTTCCTAGATATAAAATTAACATTACTAATGCATCCAGCATTTGTTTGGGTAATATCCATTTATCCAAATGTTTCCCTGGAGTGATTCAGTATTGAATTAGGCCAGAGTAATCGGGTAATAGGTAAAGTTTTAATGAGATGAATTGTTTCGTTGGAATTAACATTTAAACTCAATCCTATTATAGTTTGAATTGAATGCTTACTGCGAGCAGTGCGATAGTTCAAAACAATGATTTATTTTTTCGGATTGTAGAGTCAGTGGATCTGTCATAATCATGGGGCATTTAGTCTTCATTCCTCTCAGAATTCTATTCAACTGCAGATCAACTAAAGTGTGATATATCATGACATTTTACTGAGGATGGATGGCACAACTCCAGGGTTCAACCTTTGGGCTGCATGTTAGATTTGGTGAATAATCGAACAGACAGTTTCCGGTCATTCATCTTATTCGATATTCTAAGGAAAATCGATTTTATATTTCGTTGGATAATAAATATTGTGAATTTTTAGAGATAAATATCAGTTTTTTATTTTACCTGATGATTTTGATATGAATATTTTTTATATCAGTTTTTTAAAATTACTGTTAGTAATAAGTTTACTAATTATTAAGTAAGGCTAGTTGTTTCTTTATTGTATGTCTATTTATCGCGTGGTTATCGATATTATGAAATTTATGAGTATTTCGTGAAGAAGTAAACACATCACTTTGATCCTTCAAAATTGATTGTATCTATATTGGGAGCATTATCGACATCTTCTGGATCGATGAATACACGTCTTCAAAAGCGCCCTATATGTGAGGCGATTGAATCAGATGAGCTAGCACTCACCTCAATTATTGGTGATGTTAATCGAACCTCCCTCAGGTTCAGTAATGACCTCATTAGACAGTTCAAGGCAAGCATGAGAAATTATAAAAATATTACGAAAGGTCAATTGAAGTTACATTGTTCGTAATTAAATTAATCAATGAATTTTCGATTTCTCTATTCTTGGGATTCGAAGGGATACGAATTGAGTCAAGAGTATTCTGTATATGGAGAGAATGGCTGCGAAATAGAAAAAGTGTAATAATAAAAATCTGGAGTAAAGTGAGGGAGTTTGAAAGAGAACAGGCAACTTTGGAGTTTCTAATGTACCGGGAGTACCAAAAGGCGTTTCAAGCGACAAGTTTAATGGTGAATTCGTGGTGGATGAGATAGGGTTGGAGTTGGGTGGAGAGAGGGTGGTAGAGCATTAAAAGCGGTTCGTGCCTGGGTACTCAGTCGTTGTCGACGTGGTCGAGGCTGTAGCCATTTAGGATAACTGCTAACCGCTCCGTGCCTTCGCTTATCTTACCGAGCTTTTGGTTTCCATGATCATCTCTAAACCCTATATCTTTCTCCTTCCCTTGCCAAGCTGAGGGGTTACACGATGGCCCTGCGAGTTATATTTTAACTGACCTAATTATATCGTAGATGCTCAACTGCACTCTTAATTTATTGGCGCAATTTTTATGACACTCTCTCGTTCAATCCTTTCAGATGGGAAATTTCATCTTTTACCAACGGGGGAGTTGCTGGTGCACGGATTGGAGTTCAGTGATCAATTCCTCAGTTACAGATGCAGAACGATGCACAGACTGACACGACAAGTGGTTGTCAGCACTTCGGCAAATCTTAGAATAGCTGGTTTGTAAAATTATGAAAATTATATTATCGTTTTTCGATCGGGGATTCACGATTATTGTTAGCATTAGAATCCCCCAAAGAGGGAATAATCTCCAGTTCTTTTGAAACAAAAAAAAATCGAAAAAGAAAACAATTGTTTTTTTCGGAAATGTTTTGAAAAATTTTTCAAAAATTTGTTTCGAAAAATTTTTTTTATCATCTAAAAATTTTTGCGATTATAATTTTTTTTTTTAATTATACTGTTGTTTTCTTCCTTTTTCAATTTTTCAAAACCATTTCAGAACATAAAATTGTTTTGTTTTCCGATGTTTTTTATTTCATAAAAAAAATTTCTAAAAAATTTTCCAGAAATTTCTTGAAAATTTGGAAAAAATATTCCGATTACAATTTTTTTTTACCCGAGCACTTTCTCCGAAACTTTTTTTCTACAATGCTCAAGAATTTTCCTAAGCATTGAAGCACTTCAATCCACAAAATTTGTACACACATCAAGCGACAGATTGCGTGTAGCGTGATAGCTGGAAAAACAAATTCCCTCCAGCTTAGCTACAACAAAACCAGCCTCCACATAGTTGACATGAACAGGTATTTGCCACAGGAGCAAATACTGGTTTACGCCCTGGTATGTGTCACACAGAGTCGTGCGTGAAAATGTCTGTATAACTCCGAGAAGCTCATAAGATCTACCTTTAGATCTCACGCTCTATGCATGAGCAGATTGTGCGCAGCTTCAAGATGGTTCAGATTGAGCTGTATCACTTACATTATTATTTCTTAACGACCTTCTCGAGTGCCTCTTTAAATGCTGGGCACCTGCTGCCACAGGCATTCATGTATGTAGATTACTCGTCAGCTTCGAAAGGTTTCGAAAGAATCTTAATGTATGTTGTGTCCGGCTTGATCTAGGCTCAATTATACCAAGAGTATTTGCTTCCATATTCTCGTAGCTCATCTCCTCGACGTTTGTCTATTCCAAATACAAATATATGTTCTTATTGTATAGTCATTTTATTTATTTTTGGGTGAATAACATTTTTTTGGATTTAGGTCGACGGATCCAGTTTTTTTTTATATATATTAAAATTTTTTTTTAATTTCTACAGAGCACGGAGGCATGATACCACCAACGATACTCGAGCACTCTGGCACGATCTACGTTGGACAGGATGAATCAACTTCCCTAGTTTGCCTAGCAAAGGCCTGTCCCACCCCAGAGTACAGGTAAAGGAATCATTCTCTCACAACACCCAGTAGATTCACCTCTCGTGCTATAATAGCCTTGCATTAAACTTTCAAAGAGCAGCGAAGAATTGCCGGTGCACCTGGAGAATCACGGTACTAAAAGAGAGTGAAAAATAAAAAAAAAACTGCAACGGAGATTTACTCCGGGAGGTAAAAATTGTAGTGAGGAAAGGAGTGTTAAAAAAATGGGGCGACGTTACAAATTCTGCTTGCCACCGCGTGACCCCGAAAAATATGAGATTTTTTTATAGCTACGGCATTCGCCTCCCCTCACCACTGCTCCCTGGATTACTCGGTGTAAAGTCGCAAAACCCACGAGATTTTACAGATAATACAACTCGTAATGCCTCTACAAAGTACCACCGGAACGAATGAATACGAAAAATTTCCGGTCAAGTATTCTGCCTTGTCATTCTGATACAATACATTAATTATTCAATACAAAAGCATTACTCCATCGTACATACTGAAAAAAATGTTAAAGTCGGGAATTTATTATTCAAAGAAATTGCAGTAGAACCTAAAATTCCACTTTTGTACATCATTTCTTCATTAAAAGTTATTCATTAATAAACGAGGCGTTGATATTGAAGAAAAAACGTGTATAGAAATTATAATTAATAAGTAATAATAATACATTATTATTATTATTATTACCAATTATTAATTAGTATTATTTATTCAGATTATTTTGATGAAAATAAAACAATCACGAAAAGTCGATATGCATCGAATGAATTAATACAATCTCAGCGTATATTTTTGTTCATATAATTAGAGAAAGTGAATTGGGTCACTCCTCTGAGAACAATGGACACTATCATTTGTCAAGTAGAATGTTTCCGTCCTTTCCGTGAAGCAGCCTGAGAATCCGTCCTCAAAAGTACTGTGTGAATCTTGACGACAAGAGCTTCCGATTGCACCCATTCTGCCTTAAGATTTTCCACGATCGAGTGGCCGTCTACTTTGGCCCGATCAAAATCTTTTTTTTCCACTTTACCCTCTTCTTATTCCCTCTCATCCTCGTATCCACTGGTACTTCTATCCCACCAACTTCCGATCATCGATTCACATCGAGTCGTTTTATCTCACGTTCTAAAATAGTGTCGTACATTTTGAGAACACAAAAACGTGCTCTATAATCCTCAATGAGCACGATAACACTGACAATCACCAGATTCAGCTGATATCCTCATGATATTCACCATAAAATTTTTCTGTCCATGCACAATGCAAACGAAAGGTGAACGAATACTCCAGCATTTATTGTTGTAGTACTACCCCTACTTTCATACAGAATATTTTTTTTTATAAAAAAAATTATACTGAAACAACGACAGAGAGAAGGGAAATAACGATATTGGATAACTGAAAGGCACTCTGACCACTCTGTGCTCCAATTCCAAAAATACATTTTCCAATACCTGTGAAATTCAACTCGATGAATATCACCCGAATTTCCGGTTATATTCGGGATTAAAACCGTGTAATCAACGTATTTTCGTTTATAACATAAATTTATGACTCTCGCTCATAATATCCGTGAAATTCTGGCAAACATCAAATGTGTGACAAAAACCTGGAGAAATGTTAATTCACGGCGTTTTCTTGCTCATACTCACTGGCTCTTAGCCGACACAATGGGGTATCATTTCACCTCCGTATATCATCTATTTGACTGGTGAAATACATCATGTAGTGGGTACATGGAAAATTTGCCGTGTGTATCGTTCCCGAAAGCACCTGGCCTGAAAGCCGATATTCCATACAATCCACTGGGAAAATCCGACTCCCTCTGCGCCCATATATATTTCTATAACTGCGCAACACATTTTTCATCCCCTCTACCCTATTTTTCATTCTCTAAAAAAATATATAAATAAACACTTGAATGAAGTACATTCGATATAAAAGTATATATACGTTCGATTAATAACAATTCGACATGCCAAATATTAATTAATCATTTACATTTCACATTTCAATTATTTCTATTATACCGAAATGTTGAATCACAAATTCCCTGTAATTCTGACTTGATAATTACATATTTTTAATTTCATCTATTTTTCGACGAATTATAAATGAAAAATAGAGAAATATGAAAGGAGAAAAAAATATATGTCCTTCAAGAAAGAAGAAATTTACCCTCGTTCAATCTTACTATTCTGATCCTTCTCACTAACTCCATTAGGTACTTGTGTTTACGGAGTGAGACACGTCTGGACTCCGATGTGCCTTTGGCAAATCGTGGAAGACGATAGAGCCGTAACATTCAACTGAGCGAGTGAAAAAAAAACAGAAAAACACATAAACGAAAGAAAAAAAACCGAAGAGACGGAGAATCGCTGGAAAGCCTGCACGCCTCAGTTGTGCAATTCTGGAAGTTTGTGGAGGAAATAAACTTCGGTCTGGCTTCTTCCTTTGATTTGTTGGTAGCAATCTTCATTTTTTATTCTCCTGAAAAACCACAAGTGATCTGGATGGTTAAGGCTATCGCAAAATGCACATTTTACGAGTTTATTTTACGGGATATATCAATATAGTCTTAACTTATTGAACTTTGTATGAAAATCCCTCTAGAGAAACCTAAACGTGTTATACGATTCATTGAAGGATGCTCGACACCCTTTTACCCGAAACTCTCGTTTTTTTAAATATTTTCCAATGATTTAACACACGCAGACGGGCAATGACGACCATTTATGTCATTGCGAAAATTCCATCCAAACTTCTTCTGTCTGCTCTTGAAAACTTTTGATGTTGGCTGGATCACTGCCTCGCTGTGAATGGCGGAAACATTCAACAACTCCTGCAATTACTGTTAACTACACGTGCACGATTACAAACATGGAAGTTGTAAAATAGGACTCGTAGGTACGATTGAATAAAAGTAGTCTCATTTGGTTCGGTTTTCGTCTCCTAACTGAGAAGAATGACTAACCAATCATAAAGTAGAATATAATTGAATTCGTTTCAATTAGCTCCCCAATAACGAAGAGAAAATGCCATCGCAATTAATCACTGACCTGAATCGACCACATTAATAATTAAAAAAAACGTATGGGTTAATAAAAAAGAAAAAATGAAATAGTGCATTTAATGTCATCGTCGTGCCATTAGTCTTCATTTTACAATCTCATTTACTCAGAAATTTATGCTAGATGGTATGCACAAACTGGAGCCGAGCAGATGCCAGTATTATCGGGACCTAGAACGAGATTACTTGGGCCAGTGTTGGCTATAGAAGCTGTGACACTGTCGGACAGTGGTGTATATCAGTGTCTAGCCTCCAATCTCGGTGGTGAGACGAACGCTGAACTCAGGTGAGCATCGAGACAGCCCCATTGGTAATCACAGAGTGAAGGGGATTTTAGTCTCACCGTTAATAATAGTCATCGGTAGGGTTAGTCAAGGAAAGGGAAGGATTAGTGAAGCTAAATTGCAAATTGCAGTGAATTTCAATTAAACAACCAGTTGAATCTCCTATCACTCGTGCTAAGACGAAATAAATCAAATTCACTGTTGTGTTTTCGTCACTGCGATTGATCTAATTGAATTGATAATTTCAGGCTGGTGGTGATGGCACCTCTCAATGTCGAAGTTTCACCGTCATTGTTGAGTGTACATTTGGGGGGCAATGCTGAGTTCACTTGTATCGTTGGTACGCATTCACAAGCTGGACAGCATTTTATTACGTGGTATAAGGATGGTAGACAATTACCTGGCGCTGGGAGACAGTCCGAGACACTTACACTCAATGGAATTGGAAGAGAGGACAGGGGAATGTATCAGTGCATTGTCAGACGTGGCGATGACACTGCTCAGGCCTCTGCTGAACTCCAGCTTGGAGGTGAGTTCATCGTTCAACGGAGAAACATATAGCTTTTTAAATGGAAATGTTTATGTGCATTTGCTAGTAACAAGTAAATTTACGTGTTAAAAATAAATGGATTTATCGGTGTTGAATATACAAATAAGCCACTCACTTCTTTTCCACTCTGGCGAATGTTTTCAAGGGTTGGAGAGCGAAAATAAAAATCGACAAGTAAACGAAAAAGTGGAATAATTCAATTATCTTGAAACAAGAGTAGTTTCAATTTCCATAAACGCCGGGGTGATAGTCTCTCGCATCTGACGATAGATATTCACTATTTCAATTTTTACTTCTTTTTCTCGAGAAGAAAAATTGAAATGTGAAGGGGATTCACAATTTATCCTGACATTTTAAATAAAGCCACATACAGCGTTGGGGTTTTCCTAGTGACGTAGACTTATCTATATCCTGGTGCAAGTGGTTATATCTGGTTATATCCCCCAGCGAGTTGCACTGCAGTCGAGTGATATTACACCAGTATCATACAACGTGTGATAGAGTGAGAGGAGTAGAGAAGTCGGGAGAAAAAAAAAAGGGAATATTCTAGTAGTAACGAGCTGCCTCCAACAGCCCCACGACCGCAGATGTTTCTCCGACGAGTTTCCGTGGTTTCTATTCCGTACATTCTCAACTCTAGTTAACCATCAACCGGAGTATATGTACTTATTTTCAATGTTTTACGGAAATATTAAATGCTGGGGGCTCAAATAAATAAAATAAATTCCGCAGCGAAATAGAGTTGATGATTTTACGGATTTTTCTTCGGACTGAATTTCCCAGGAAAAATTGCCATACCAACACGGAAATTTTTTTGGTCATTGAATTTGAATTTATCTTCCAAAAGTAATTTGGGAGAATATTTTGGGATAAACACATGCGTAATTTAATTGAATTTTCAACGTAATTTATTTTACGAAAAATTCAGAAAAGACAGAGTTTTTCGATTTTTCACTCCACGTTTTCCATATAGTTGTAACAAATGGAAATGATTAACTTTGGAGTCAAGGACAGAATGAGTGTGTCCCCTCGCCATGTTTTCCCTAAGCTAATATCCCATAATCAGACTTCTTGCCCTCGAGCTGGACTACTACCATTCAGTGGGTCCCTCCACCTCTTTCCTTCATGCGTATCTGATCCAGGCATCTCCCAACTCTGAACACAACGTGGGGCTGACCCCTTTGAAACATTGAAGTTAACCTCGAGCTCGTCAGTGACGGTAATGTACGGAATTTACGTCAAAGGGAGAACACGAGCAGCGGTGGCTAGTGTGGCAGAGGTGCCAAGAGAATAGATGGTACCAGCGAGATACACTGAGAATGAAGTAGAAAAGCCATTGTAAAGTCGGTCAGGAAACATTCAATTTCCATTTCGGAAAATCAAATGTTTCAACAACCGTCAATCCTAAAAAAAATAATATTAACATTTCCCTGCATAATTAAAAACATGTTAATATTACCGGTTTTAATCTACCGCGCCTTGAGCAATCACGAAAAAAAAATATAATAATAGAATAAATGATTTTTCCCCTGCCTCATACGCCTCCACTTCAAACATTGATTAAATCTTTTAATCAATTGGAATGAAATCAATGTTCGATCAATACAAAATAGAATCCTTTGAAGCATGAGTTTAAATCAACATCACATGAAATATGAGAGATGTGGATTTCGTGCATGCTATTTCGCTATGTGAAAATTGAACAATGCCAAAATAAAAATCATAATTGGTTTCAAATAACGTGAGAAGAATTCTACAGGAGTTGATGAATGTAGTAGTACGTTTCATGGCGGCTTTTTGTTGTTATTCATTGGTCACAATGAAAAAGCCGACTGCAACTGTATTGTCACTGTCGATCATCTGTGAAATTAAATCCGCTGAAATTTCGTTTTCTATAACGAGAACGTCCGCGTCTCTCATTTCAAAGTATTCTGATTCTCCAATTTTCGCCATTTTTCGAATATTTGGGATTTTTTGAATTGTCAAAATTTTGCCGCCCCCAGGCTAAATTTCTTCAACAATTTTCAATCTCCCTTGATTTCCGCAATGATTCCCAAATTTCATTTCACAGAAATGAAAAATTAGATGTTTATATCAGGACTAGGATAATAACTCTCCATTCAGCTGAATATTCTTGCGAGATTTTTTCATTGACATCGTGAGTAAAATTATTCAACCGTAAACTGCAATTAACGATAATTTTATGAATAATTATGGGGGAATCTAGAAGGATAAAGATTTCATTGTTCCGTACTATCGCCGTTATCTTAATGACGAACGATCGACACTTTTAATTATCAGCGCTCGCCAACCGTTGCCCCTGGATACCAACTCGTCTCCAAACATTCTTTTTTTATTCCCCCCTCCCCCAGTGCTTTTGACTTTTTTAATCACCACGTCAATTATCCCGGTCCGGAGTTTGCCCAGTTTGTTATTCAGGGGAGAATAAATGAAAAATAATAAAAATAGACTGCAATCAATGGAGGTATTGATATCGTGCGTTGTTCTGAATTTTTTTTTCATTAATTCCGGCTACAGTTAGCTTCTGCATTATTTTATAAATATAGATACATATCAGTCCAGGTGCAGTGATATCGATATAAATTTCCCTTTCCCAATACAAACCCGTCGAGAAATTAGTGCTTTTTACTCCAACTCCACCCATCATTTTATTTTTTCAAGATTTCTATCTTTCAAGATAAAATACAGATCCTTTTTTTATTAATTTAATTTTAAAAATAATACAATGCGAATCCCATTTGCTCGCAATTCCGAAGTGCCCATTCACGAGGAAAAAATGCGAAAATTAAAAAGTGAAAAAATAATGAAGTAGACTTCCAACAATTGAAATGAAACTTATTAATTGCAGAATTATCCTCGAGGGAGATGAGTAAGAGCACAAAAATTTTCCCTCTGAAAACGAACATTTCGGCCAGTTATTGCTTTTGTTAGTCTTGGCACTCGATGTTACTCTCTTTTTTCAATCTATCTCTGCGTCTTCACGGGAATGAAATCGACACTTTTAATTACGGAATGTCCCCAGGTACATCCAACCAATGCTTTTTCTCTCTTTTCGTCACCTTCGTCTCATGCTACCTATCCACGACAAATTACAAAGAAACGAGAGAAAATGGGCGAAACGAGAATTTACGTTCCACCGCGTCTCTTTTCTCAGTGCGCCATTGTTTGCCGCGTGCACTGGAAAAAGTTTGGAATTAAATTTTTTTTTTTCTCATTTCAATTAATTTTTCTACCTCTACGCGAAACTAGTCGATACGGAATATAATCTCAGGAAATTCAATTATTTCGCTACTGAATTTTTTGATAATATCATTGCAATCCGGAGAAAGAAGTCGGAAAAATATTTTTCATCGAAATATCTTGGACAATTGTTTGAGATATTTTTTTTTCAGATATATATTCTTGTTTAAATATTCATCCTGCCTTAATTACTATCAAGAAGCTTTATAGATATTTAACGACCCCATGTAATTGACGATTTATTTATCGCATATTGCGATTAATCCTCAGGTAATCATAGCTTAGGACTATACAATCGTAAACTGAATTTATTATGGGCGTAAATTACACTTACAATCAATGGAAATTACGATTACATAAATGTGGTGTACGACAATCTAGAGCGTAATCATTGCGAAATCATTTATGAAACAGTGAATACAATTTTTTGTGGCTATATCGTATTTCCTCACATATCATTTTTACTCATTGGAGAGGAAATACGAAAAACAATGAGATGAAGTCGTACTTAATAAAAATGGTGTATTATGAAATATTCCCTCATGTATGAGCGCTTTCACTCGTCCATAAAACTTGTTTATTGTCGTATTTTATTTCGATCATGAATCGTACCAAGGGGCATTTAAATTGCCGTAGTTCTCCGATCTCCAGCCAATAACTTGTTTATTTTCCATTATTTCACGAATTAAAGGAATACGAATTTCACATAAATTTCATATTTTTCATCATGTTTTTATGTCCAAAAATCAATAAATTTCGTGCAAAATCTCAGGATTAATCTTAATAACAATAATTTTACTTCTTTTGCAGATGCACCACCGATTATCATGTATTCATTCATTGAGCAGACCCTTCAACCGGGTCCAGCTGTTTCTTTAAAATGCTCAGCAGCTGGTAATCCAACACCTCAAATAAGTTGGGCCCTCGATGGATTTCCACTGCCTACAATAACTCGGTAAACTCTCAATGTTAATAGAATTGACGTTCCAAATGTTAGGCACAAAAAAAAACATTTCTTAAAACTTAATTAGTCGAAATTTTTCTGTACAATACGGCGTGCTTGGAAACAATTGGCAATTAAATGCGAATTTTTCATCTGCACAGTGGAGAGGGAAAACAGAATAGAGTAAAAAATATAAGTGGAACTTGTAGTTCCACTCCAACTCAATTTCAATTTTGTTTCCATCGATTCCACAATGGAAGAGATCACAAGAAAACAAATTTTTATTGGCAGTTCTCGTTGAGCTTCACCAGCGGTTAGCTGTAAACCTCGTACAGCATGTATATCTATAGGTTACAATAAACCCACACGTACAGAGGAGAATATTCCTAGTTGCATATGCGCACAGGCTGTTTCGTTACCCGTACGAAACGACCCATTCACCAACTGATACAGAAAGAAAAAATGAAGAAAAAAAGATTTCCTCCAATGGTACTCCAACCACCATCCCTCCTCTCCTGCAAAATATCTTCCACTATTTGTTCCTATATTTTTTTTCCCATTGTCTTCTCGAGTATCAGTGAAATAGGGGGTGGCAAAGGGGTGGCAAAGGGGTGGCAAAGGGGAGGCAAAGGGGGAGGCAAAGGGGGAGGCAAAGGGGTTGAACAGGGTAGAGGGTTGCGAGTGAGTGCTGCGAATAAATTTCCGGCAGAATGCCTCTCTCGGTTTTGTACCAAACCAGAAAGTGCAACGGGCCTTCTTTTTTTTCCCCTGTCGTACGCAGAAGGTGAAGAAAAATAACCGGATAAATTTATTGGTGTATGGTAATTAAATGGGATTTTTGCAGATTCGTTATCGGTCAGTACGTCACTGTCCATGGGGATGTGATATCCCACGTTAATATCAGTCAGGTGATGGTTGAGGATGGTGGAGAATACTCGTGTACTGTTGAAAATCGAGCTGGAAGAGTCACCCACGCTGCAAGGCTCAACGTTTATGGTAAAGTTCAGGAGATAAAGCAACCAATATTTATACATTTGAAGAGAGTTTTTGAAGTTTTATGACCAATTGTTAATCGTTTTGGCATTTTATCATTTTTGAATTACTCCCAAAATTGATGATCGTGGAATAATTTTCCAGCGTTTTTTCAGAACTTTTCAAGCATTCATAAAACTTTGTGAAAAACCACAGAATGATTTTATTTGTCATTGATGGAGCCATTTGAAGGCAATTGCAATTTCAAATTGCAATTTCTACTGCAACAAAATCATCTCCCGTATAATGCTTGACATAATTGCAATTAATGGTGCAATCACATAAAATTTAATCGATTTTAAAGTTATGGTGTCGATAAATGGCGGAGGAGGTACGCCCTTACCCAATTTGTTCATGTCAAAAAAGACGAATGAATCAGTCCGATAGAATTCTCTTCAATGTACCATCGTAATACAGTCTGCAATTACCTGAAATACGTTTAATTACCCCAACTCTTCTCGTCTCATCCGTTGAAAAAGCAAACGCAATTAAATCAAATAAGCGCTTCATCCGCGAGTTCATTTACATTTTAAAATAAATCCCCCATTTCCGTGTCCTTTTTCAAACAGTCGAATGAATGTTATACACTGGCTAAAAAAAAATCCAGAACATCCATTTATTTGAAAGAATTGTTACTATTTGAAAAGTAAAAGTTATCGAAATATATTATTTTATTCGATCAGGACTACCATACATTAGAATCATCCCAAAAGTAACGGCGGTAGCAGGTGAAACACTTCGCCTGAAGTGTCCGGTGGCTGGTTATCCAATTGATGAAATAAAATGGGAGCGTGCAGGCCGTGAATTGCCGGACAATCTGCGTCAGAAAGTGATGCCGGATGGTACACTAATGGTATCCAGTGTCCAGAAGGAGACAGACACCGGAACTTACACATGCTGGGCAAGAAACAAACAGGGACACTCCGCCAGACGTTCCGGGGATGTGACCGTCATTGGTAAGATATTTATCTTTCATTCTGTTCCTCCTTGCTTTTATAGTCTGCTGCAGGTGGAACCCATGGAAAAATCAATCAACCCGGACTGGTGAAAACGAAGAATAGAAAAGCGATGAAGAAATCATTTCAGGGGCGATGGCGAAGCTCCTCCTATCGTCTAGATTATTCCTCTGTCATTTCATTTATTTAATTACAGTACCCCCAAAAATTAGCCCGTTCACCGCTGATCGCGATCTTCATCTTGGTGAACGCACAAGTCTGACTTGCTCAGTGACACGTGGCGATCAGCCAATAAGAATCATCTGGCTGAAAGATGGAAGGGCAATGGGACCGTCCGAACGTGTATCAATCACCAATGTCGATCAGTATAATAGCATACTGATGATTGAAAGTTTATCTCCAGATCACAATGGCAATTACTCGTGTGTTGCCTCAAATCCCGCAGCCGAGGTATCACACACACAGCAGCTTGTGGTTCATGGTAATCCTCCAACATCTAGGCCCGCAAAAAAAACATTCATATGAAATATGAAAAAAAAATTTACCATTTTTTTTTTTCAATGCCCATGGATCAGCCACTGACCGCCCACTATATATTTTTTTTTTCATACATGTCTATTGTGAGTGGGTGCGTGTGCTTGTTTTTGCGCCTCGTTACTTACTTACTATCTTCAATAAAATGGAAAAGGAAAGACATTGGCATTTTCTTTTCACCGATGCCACTTGTCAAATTATTTCCAATAATTTTATAAATCTCTTCTTTTTCACTCCTCGTTTTCTTTGAAATAACATCAATTACAATCTTTAACATTTTTATGCATGCCTCGAATTTTCTGATGATTATCAGTATTCGTTGAATTTATCATGTTTGATGAGTGGCACAGAGGTCTCGGACGGTTTTAGATCTAGAGTTTCGTCGTTCGTCCGAACTCTGTAAAATCGGTATCAATACTATCTCTGCATGATACCTGTACCCAACAACACTGCTCTTCGTTACTTGGAAAATAATCCTTGATTAAGATGAAGAAGGAATTTCTGATCGGCAACTGATAGTACAAAGTACTAAGTCAATTTTTTAAGGGATATCAATAACAATATTCCGGCTCCTGATCAGAAAACCCCTTTTTTGCCTTATCTTTGAGTGACTCGATCGGTCCAACGCGCCATTTAAATAATCTTCCAAATATTTAACAACAAATTTTACACCTTTCAAGATATTCCGATTCCGAACGATGTACTTGTAATCATTCCAATAAAAATTCTCCCTCAGCCTTTAAACTCTTATCGATCTCAAAGAAAAAAAATTATATTACAAACTTTCATCTATCGTCTTCTCGTTATTGAACTTTCAAGAATTGTTAAAACTCTTCGAATGATTCTTCGAACCGATCGATTCATTTTAATTCTATCTCCCTTCACCCAGCGTCATCTCGACTCGCAAATTCTGTCTCACGAAATTAGAAAAGAATCATGGAGTTGCATGCACCAGGTTCTCTTCACATTAAAATAATAGAAATTACTGTACCGTGTATGAGAGAAAGCAATTGAATCACTATTTACATTGTTGAGACATACGTTGGGGCTCGAGATGCCTTCGAATGCCATTAAATTTGCACGCTCTTGCGTCGAGTGGACGTGTCTACCATAATTCTGTTTGACCGTGATATATTTTTATGTTATAAAAATTCATAAAAAGAGTGTTTCAAAAGAAAGTTATAAAAAAAAAAACAGTGATTATGTGGGCGGCAGGAGGTGTTTCCAGTTGGCGGGCCAAACCTCTATCTCGCTCTTTCTGTCTCTCTATATAAATTGCAACATTTACTGCCTCTATTGTACATACGTATTAAAATACCATATACATATTATATATATTTTTACTATAAGTACATGTACGTACTACTACTGTCTCATACTTGCATATCACCTAAGTATTATCATTATCATATACGTCCATATTTTATCACATAAGGAAGCAATAGAAGATGTTAGTGTATATATATCGATATATGACATGTCACTACATGCATCCTTATATATACAAAGCGAAAAAAAACCTGGTAGGAGAGTCAATGGAATTATTTTGACGAATGTTTTGATAATTATTTTGGGGTAATCCAAGTGCCAGTCGATTTGTAAATAATTAATTATTAAATACAAATGGAAATTACACATTACATATTTCAAGAAACTCATTATTACATCAGGCAATAATCATAACAGAATAAATAAAAAAATCATAGTGATCGATTTACAAGTCAACATTACGATAATAATAATCTGAGAATAACAATCAATTGAAGGGATTAAAAAAAAGTGTAGAAGATAGTGTTAATTGAATTGAAGGAAAAAAAAAATTGATTGATGAATAAAATAATCACTTGGATATCCTTAAAGGATCACGATAAATAATCATAATACGAGATTTTTTTTTGCTACATCTTTTTCTCACTCTCACGTATGGTTCTTTCTTCTCTCTTGACCTTTTCCAGTACCCCCTATAATTGAGCCATTTACCTTCCAAGAGGGACTTTCCGAGGGGATGAGGACGCGCACGGTGTGCGGGGTCGCGGCGGGTGATCCACCCCTGACAATATCCTGGTTAAAAGACGGTCACACGCCATTCCTATTGTCCCAAAAAGCCGCAACTGATACCAATATATCCCAATTGGATCCTTACTCAAGCCTACTGAGCATATCAATCCTAGCCGCTGAACATTCTGGTGACTATACCTGCGTCGCCGCGAACCCCGCCGCCGAGGTCAGGTACACGGCCAAGCTTCAGGTAAAAGGTAATTTGCTGAGAATATCGGCGCCACCCAATATAAAAATTGATAAGTCCCACTGATCTCGAGGTTGATTGTTTTACTTTCCAAAAAAAAAAAAATTAAATAATTAATAAAGATACATTCATTTACATTTCATTCTCTACACCTAGATATCAATAATGAATTATATTACCCTTCAAAATTTGGTGATATTTAGAATTCCGAGGATTTCGTCAATACAATTATCCCATTGGCATTTTTCATGTTCGAACGAATGAGAATTCATACCTCGGGATCGGAAATCCTCTTTCCCACGACAGAAACGAAAATAAATAAAGAAAATAAATTTTCTCGTGATCTTCCAGGCCGTCGCCCACTCTTCCTCCTATCCAATCTCAATTTTTACGACTAGTCGTATTGTCTCCGGATTTTCACTAGGACCAAAAAAAAAAACTATCTGTTCCTACTGCTTCGACAAAAAAATCCGAGTGAAATTTATATCACTGATTTTCATAAAAAAAAAATTTATATATATCTAGAGAGATTTATCCCTGGCCTCAATGATTCATCAATCCTATTTGAAATTCCCAAAAAATCCTGTTGACACTCACCAAATCGAAAACCCTCATAAAACACAGTGTGTATTACATTTACGTTGCTTTGGCTCTCTGGGAATGCGTCGGTATCTCGTGGACCCCCGAGATTTGCTTGACTTGATCGAAAAAAAACCATAATAAATAACAAAAGAAACAAAGGTAACTGAGTTGCACCTTCCTTTAATTTATCCATCAGAATATCTATCAGACTATTAAAATTAATCATTCGATAAATGACCAATGAAAATCTTTTTACCTGATGCGTGCGTGTGTGTGGTAACGACGATTTTTTGAGCATGAACAGAATCACATCTCCATAATTATTTTCACCATAAAATAATAATCGTTGCAGCATGCACCATAGTTGCACTTTAAATGTAGACAAAATTTTTACCACTGGCTGTAATCCACCGGATACTCTGGACAACGGCTGCTCTTTTTGCACAATTTTTTGCACGCAATTTTTACCACTTTTTCACCTTCAATAGACTTTTTACATGAATTATTCGGCATGACTTTTTCAACTCTCTACTTTTCAATCTCTCCATGTTTTTTATTACACTATAAAAAAAAAAAGAAGTAACATCCTGTGATAAAGGCGCGGACAAAAACGTGCGATGTACATAGAGATTAATAATTTAATGAATCTCGCTGAAAGTTGAAATGCACATTGTAATGAGTAATGAGCAGCAAAGTAGTTAACAAATGATGAACATGAATGGAGCACATAACGAGGCTTTGTCCGCGCTTTGGTTAATGATAGGGCTAGTAGTACGTATATAATTATTTAATTTGAGACTATTCATTGTTAACCGGACTAGACGTTTAGAAGCGAAGTAAAATATTATTGGCTTTATATATGTTATTACGTTGTTTAATTTGTCATTCGCCGATGGGGCATTTACCTGCCAGAACTCACTTGATTTATTATTTATCATGATATATATATATATATTTATCCTATTTGAATTGCCTATCACGCGTGTATTCGGCTCGTTTCACGCCAAGTAATTTCATATGCGAGAGTAAATCATACTATATTTTCATATATTCACTATTATATCACCTTGCGTCTTCGAACGTGACGCTACTTTTTGTTTTCATACCTCTGATTTTATTTATCATTTTTTTAAACCGTAAAACATTGAATATCTCCCCACCTATCACAGTATTATCGCTTGTGCAGCGTTTTTTATCACAACCGTAAAAGTAGAAAACCCGAAAAATAAATAAATAAATAAACGAAACAAATCCAATGAAAGTATGCTCTCGAGACCTCAACATGGGATGCCAGTAGTAAGGATGAGTTCATTGAACTTTCAGTATATCTGTATACTTTAGCAGTCAGCTATTCGCTGAGGTGAACTCTCTTTTTCAACATTTTATTTTCTATTCCCCTGGGGGGATATAGGAGATTTTCTTTGTTGTAGGCGTCCCCTGTGAGATTCGATAGCGACCCCAATCTGCCATTCTTATCCAATCACAAATGAAGAAAAGTTATTTATACCACAAATTCATCCATCCAGCTCATTCCCCCATTCATTGCTCCCGTTCTTTCTACCCAAGTCAATTTAATTAAGCGGATTGTCAACTCGTAATGCCACGTTATACCGTTGAATAATAAATGGAACAGTATTCGAGGATTCGCTCATCAAAGCTAAATACTCTTTTATTTCGCTGTGACGCATAATGCCAGATTGAATACGGAGATTATCACTGTAGTCTGACGTCATTTTAATATCGGGGTTGAGGAAAAAATTAATTTAATGGAAAAAAAAAAGGTTTTTATTTCTCTCGTTATCGCTTCTGAATAACGTCAGTCATTTGTCCATGCGGGTTAACGATGTTTTTTTATTTTTCAAAACATTCCATTTTATATATATTTTTTTTGGTTTGATTGGTATTTCAGTTGTAGAAGAATATTTCGGATGGAACTAAAGTTGTGGTGAATTCTCCATTTCTAGTGCCTCCACATTGGTTGGTGGAGCCGATGGATACGAGCGTTGAGAGAAATAGACATGTTGCACTGCACTGTCAAGCACAGGGTGTGCCAACACCTGTCATTGTGTGGAAAAAAGCAATCGGTAATTTTTTTTTTTCTCTCTCCCAAGTTATTCCGAGTTACTCCGAGTTATTTCAACTTATTTCTCATTTATCTGACAATTCTCCCTGTGAATTTCTATTGGCCCGTTTTAAATGATTTGTGATAACAATAAAATACAACGTGTTACACAAACAGGAGGTAAATCCGGGGAGTACGAGGAGCTGCGTGAAAGTTCTTATACGAAACTTTTGAATAATGGCACCCTAGTTCTTCAGCATGTTAAAGAAGACAGAGAAGGCTACTACCTCTGTCAAGCTAGCAATGGTATTGGCACTGGCATGGGCAAAGTGGTTCAACTTCGTGTCAACTGTAAGTAAGATCGAAAATCATTTAACCGAATAAAATGAAAAAATTTCAACTTGTCAACTGTTGAAAACTTGAAGCCTCACCATATTTCGCTGCTCCGTCAAGACTTGTCACTGTTAAGAAGGGCGATATGGCTACATTGCACTGCGAAGTTCATGGTGATAAGCCTGTCACGGTTTCTTGGCTGAAGGGTGGAAAAATTGAATTGAATCCATCCACAAATTATCGGTAAATATTGAATTTGGAAAATATTTTTTGAGAAGGGATGAATTCATTTTTCTTTGATAGCATTTTTTCAATTTTGTCATCGCGGTTGAGGGAGATGACGGAAATTCTCTAGGTGACTGTTTTCCAACTCTAATTGTACTTGAAAATACTAAAATGAATTTTACTATTGGTTTATTCGACACAGTAATGACTAAATGATTATTATTTTATCTCCCTCGAGAGTGACTCACTTATTTGATCCGATTGGGCCAACTGATGCCTCTGTGTAATTAAAGTAATGACAGGACTAATATCCCTGGAGGCTCAAAGTTGAATTACAAATATTGAACATGAAGCAAGTACTATGTAATTGCAAACGAAACTATTTGAACGTCATCATTCGGTCGACGTTCGTCAATTTTCGTGGTTGCAAAATCATAAAGATAATTTGATTTTGACTTCGATCAGAATTCAATAAAAAATTCTACAATTGTCGCCCTCATCTCGTTTTCCATTCATCAACTCTTGATTCCACTGATCGAATAAATAAACCGAATTCTCTTCCAAGTGTAACAACAAAAACGGAAGTGATACCAGACGGTGTGGAAGCACAGTTACAAATATCCTCAGCGGAAGCATCAGACAGTGGAGCATACTTTTGCCAAGCAAGCAATCTCTACGGAAGAGATCAACAGTTGGTTCAATTGCTCGTACAAGGTAGAGTCCCCAAAAATCTCCGTCTCCCCGAAAAAAAGTAGAATCCCTATTCCACGAATAAAAAAAAACCCCTAATTCCCAATTTCCCCTCGAAACAAGTGTTTATTTACTCAATTTGCAGTACTTACTGTTTTTCCTTCATTTAATTGTCCATCATTATTTATTTTATTAGAGCCTCCCCAGCCACCCCACGCTTTGGAGACGGCAATGATAGCTCCGAGGAGTATAAACGTCAAATGGCAACACCGGTCTCAGGACACACGTGAAGTAACCAAGTATATTCTTCAGTACAAGGAGGGCGAGAGTGGGATGTGGCAACAGCAGGAATTAACTGGGCCACCATTGCCATACGCAACTCTGATTGATGACTTGAAGCCAGCAACTAGGTACACCATTCGGATAATTGCTGAAGGCCCAGCTGGCAGATCCTCACCCTCTGCTGAATTAGTTGTTCGTACTGAACCCCAGAGACCGGCTGGACCTCCAATAAACATTGCCGCTCGCCCCATATCACCAACGGAAATCCTCGTCACATGGTCACCACCCCTTGCTGAATTACGCCATGGGGATATTCAAGGGTTTAATGTTGGATTTAGAGAGACCAGGTTATTTTTATTCATTAATAACTCACTCAGTGGAAATTCAAATCGGAATTTGCTCCGGGATCTATTTAGACAAATAAAAAATCAACTGGTTTCAGGCATGCCTTCAATTTTATAATACTATAATAGTTTATTCATTTTTAATTCTTCATCACAATGAAATTCTGGTGAACTTCGTTCTTTCGTTCGTTTTAAAATTGAATGCAGATTTAATGATATTTAATGATATTTTTGAGGCACGTTACCATAAAATTTTTCAATAAAAAAATGAAATGAATCAAGAAAGATGGGGCGATTCCCCGTTTGGGATAATTTAATAGGTGTGAAAGGAAATTCTGAGGAAATTCTGAGGAAATTGTGAGCCGTATCGAACCTCCAGAATGATCTAGTATCAAAGAGCCTGGGCTAAATTTCCACTCTATTGATCTGTTCAACCACTCCTGACACTTCATGCCACAAATATTTGAGTTACAGTGGTGCAAATCCATCGTATAACTTCACATCGGTGTCCGGGGATGGTGAAGAAGGCGGTGGAGAACTACGTCTCACGGGACTTAGACCCTATACGAGATACACAATTGTTGTTCAAGCTTACAATCAGGTCGGCTCGGGACCACTATCCGAACAACTACCTACGCAAACATCGGAAGGCGGTGAGGGGATTTATGTGATTTTATTGGGAGTTTATTCTGGAGGGATAGAAAATCTATTTTCTTTAAATTATTCGTCTTCCAGGAGGAAAACTCATCCTCAGTCTGAGGAGTCTTTGTGATCGATATGATAGAAGGGTGTGTTTGCTCACTGGAGTTCTTTGAGAATCGTTTGGATAGTACTGCTTTTTCTCCAATGTAAATCGTTCATGTATACCCAGCATTTTAATGGCAAAATCCTAGAGACTAGTTCAAACGGAATCCGGAACGTTCAACGATTGAAGAATAAATTTATTTATTTTATACTTGATTTAAGTACACACATTGTACTTGAAAAATTAAATTTCCAGTAGACTACATTGAAATTCATTATTTTGGTGTTCACTTGGGGTTCAAGTGACTATAATTGAATTTATAAATTGATAAACATACAAATTTGTTTAATGTTCATGATTTTAAAGCGATTACAGAGTATTTCACAAAAAATATAAAAGTTCATTATTGAATTTTCTCTCGTAAAATTAGTCTACCTAAATTGAACATTCAGAACCGATTCAAACTTGAAAATATAAGAAGTTACCACGATTTCGTTGTAGCAGCGACTTTTCTCAATTGGCGCACGTGAGAAACTCCAATTTCGAGGTTTATTCCCGGTGGAAGATTATTTGATACGACTTGAATTGCACGTTCGTAATAGGAAATCGAGGAAAAGTTTTTGAAGAGGAAAAAGGAGTAAATTGAATGAAATATTTCGTTTTCCAGTACCAAGTAGACCACCAGACGATGTTCGTTGTGCTGCATTGACATCACAATCCCTTCAAATTTCATGGAAATCACCACCAGCTGCTTTCGTCAATGGAAATATACAGGGTTATAAATTGACTTATGAACCAGTTATGCCAGACTTCTGGAGTGGTATCGACGAGATGGAAGTGAGGAAAACGGGGAGTATGACGATGAACCTTGCGGGCCTTCGAAAGTACACCAATTACAGCATCCAAGTACTCGCATACACTCGTGTTGGTGATGGTGTGCCCTCGAGGTCTCTGTACTGTCGAACTAAGGAAGATGGTGAGTGAATTTTTAATTGAAAAAAAATCTCCTTCCATTTCGAATAATCTAAATGAAAAATAAAATTGATGCAGTACCCGGAAGCCCAGCGGATATTAAAGTCGTTGTAAGCTCACCTCAGGCGCTTTTTATCTCCTGGTTACCACCGCTCGAGCCCAATGGCGAAATTAACAAATACAATTTGTACTCCAGGTACGTCTAATCACAATTTTCCTGTTAATTGTAATGAAATAGTGAAGATTTCTTGTACTTCAACTTATTGATTAGTTTCGCATTTGAATTTCAAAGAATTTCATGTAGACAATAATCTCATATCTGTGTACAATGAATCAAGTGAAAAAAATCGACTGCAATCAGGCAGCAGGATTTTTTAATTTTATTTCTTTCGTTTAAAATCACTCTCACGTACTTATTTCCAATTCTCTCGGAAAATAAAATGAAAGAATCATGGACGGTCGAGAGGAGTTAAATCACGGAAAACGAGTTCTCGCCTCCACCAACACCTTCTTCGAAGTCACCGGGCTCCAGCAGCATGTGGAGTACCAATTCTGGGTGACAGCCAGTACTCGAGTTGGTGAGGGTCAAAGCTCGACAGTAGCTGCAGCAATGCCCAAGACCCACGTTACAGCAAAAATAACATCATTCGGAGGTCACATCGTAAAACCTTGGCGTGGCTCTGTGACCCTGGCGTGTCATGCTGTGGGGGATCCCACGAGGGAGTGGTTCAAGGGTCTCTCCGAACAAGTTCATTCCGACCCCAATAGAAATATCCAGATTCTCCAGACTGGTGAGCTGGTACTGTCGAATGTACAATTGCAGGACAGTGGAAATTATACCTGTCAGGTTGAAAATTCACTGGGAAGCGACCGACTGCAGTACAGCCTTATTGTTCAAGGTGAATTTTTATCTCCATTCATAATACTATTTGAAAAAAATCCATTTGCGAATGGATTTTATCTGTCGAGTCCATTAGGCCCATTAATCCACTTCATAAATTTTCAATAATTCTCTTTTTAGTGCCACCGAGTGCTCCGGTTCTCTACGTAACCAGTTCCACCTCAACAAGTGTTCTCCTTCATTGGAAAGCTGGATACAATGGTGGATCACCTACCACAGGGTATACTTTGCATTATCGAACGACTCACGGAAATCTAGATGAACTCCAATTACCGCGAAGAGCTACTAATCATGAATTAAAGGTACATTAAGAGTTCTAATAATATAGATTATTTAGATTCGTTCCATAATTTAATTTTCTCCAGATACACATCGTGCATTAATTAGCCGATAAAAAATGATATTTAAAAATAGAATGTATTTTTAATTTTTTCAGGGACTTTTGTGTGGTAATATGTATCATCTGTATTTGACATGTCATAACAAAATCGGGAGTAGTGCAGCATCTCCAGTACTTTCAGTGCGAACGCAAGGGCAACCCCCTGGCATTCCACCAGCTGCTGCATTTCTATCACCGAATTCCACTACTCTAGCTCTCCGTCTGTCTACATGGCCTGATAACGGATGTCCCATTCAATACTTCGTAATCCAGTATCGACCGATGGATGAATTTCACTGGACACTGGTGTCCAATAATGTTAAGCCTCAAAAGAGATTTTTAGTTACGAATTTATCACCTAGTACGGTTTATCAGCTGAAAGTCGAGGCCTACAATGTTGCAGGGAGTAATCAGGCAGAGTTCAGCTTTATTACGCTGACTAAAGATGGAGGTTAGTTGAATGCCATTGATTCATGCGTGTATCCAAGAGAAACGAAAGCCTCCGCCATTTTGGTGTGCGAAAAAATGGCGCTTACACGCCTTACGTTGCTTATGAGGCTACGATGTATATTAAAAACGACGTAAAATAGATGTAGAATTTTTTATTATAATCGATAGCTCGCTTTTTCCATATTTCATCCTGAAATAATATAATGAAACTCAATGACTAATTAATTCGTTGAATAATTAAATTTTACAGATGCTCCCCCACCCGAGCTGACAGATCGTGGATCAGCGTCGACGATTCCTTTTTATGCCGACGTCAAAGTCATGATACCAATGATACTTTCGACGTTCGCCATTTTTGCAGTATTTGCTGGTATCATGTTGAGATTGAAAAATAGGAATTCGGGGGACCGGCAGCAGCGGCCGATGAAGGAGACCCAGGAGAATCAGCAGAACGCGGAGACCCAGAGGGAGCGGTACTACGCAACGATTCACAAGGTCGCTCTTCAGCAGGCTGCCAACGCCGGGGGCCCAGACAAGATTCCAGGTGATATTTTCTTTCATGGTAGACGTTGAAGAGAACTAGTACTTTTTGGGCGGCAAAAGAACGTCAGGTGACTGATGTGGTTGAAGTGGAAGTGGTTGAGCAATCTGTATAAAATGTATAAAGTCTGACGTGATTTGAAAGGTAGGCAATTGCCACTGTTGGGTTACAGAGACGGCGGAGGACATCTCTCCGTACGCTACGTTCCAGCTTTCGGAGGGGGGAGGGGGAAGCCTGGCAGGGCTGGGAGGATTGGGAGGACTTGGAGGTGCGGCAGAAGCATCAGCAGCCGGTCTACATCCCAACAATACTCTTCTCCACAGCTTCATGTACCACGAGCATGCGATGACCGAGGGCTGCGCGAGTCCACCACCAGCGGTGACGGTTAGTTTAATTATTTGATGAAGTACAGAATTTCACCATCACTCACATAAAGCCTCTCATTTAAGCGATCGAGAGGGAATCAAGCGAAAGGGGATCCATTTATTTTCATTGATTCATGCATGGAATTGAATTAGTTGAAGCGATGACCGGTGGTGCAGGGGGAATTCATCAATATGGTAATCCGAATGAAAGGTGTGTTTTGATGTTCAATAGAGTATGAAGAGTGTGTCATCACGACGACGCCAGCAGAGGAAGCAACATACACACGGGGACGACAGCGACGAGAGCGAGTCTGACCCGGACCAACTAACTCGTTCGAGAACCGAATCCTCCAACCAACTCGACGCCGGCAAACTCAAGCACAGTACGTACTGAATTTCATTCTAAATCGTGAATATCCATCAATCCCTCAAAAACCACTCTACCCTAGTTTTCTGCTCAATCAATTAAACTTTCAGTTCGTGCTGTTTCGGATTTCATTTACCACGGCACATCGAGCACCTCGTCCGATATATCGCCAATGTGCGAGCAGAAATCGTTACCGAGACGAGGACGACCCAGGTACTCCATTTATTCGTAATTTAATTCACCAAAAATTAATGAAGCAATAAATAAAAAAATAAAATAAATAAGAGAGATTTATGGTAAATTGTGAGAGGATAGACGAATAAGAAAAACAAAGTCAAAGAAAATTTGAAATGATATAAAACGAGAAAATGGCTGTCTATGAAGATGGCACGTTCCCAGCAGGAGTTCCCTGAGGATGCTGCTACCCCCGATGTCAGTGGCCGAGACGGCATTTGTGAGTAATCAAGGAAACATACCAGGGAATGGCGACAGGAATGATCGACACGAATTGAGCGAGGCCGAGTGTGATATTGATTCACTGAAGAAGCCAAAGCTCGGCCTCAGAAGTTCTCTGTGGTCCAGGCCCGGTACACAGAACAATCCATCCTCGGATTACTCCATTGCAGTTTAAATAGCCAATTTCATCAGAGACGAAAAAGATTAAAATTCAAATAACACCTGAAATAACATTCGATAATTCAAACTATCAACATTCGATTGTCGTACCTCGATATGACCCAACCCCAACCAAGGAGCACTCGTCATGACCAACAAATACGTTGCTTAATACGTTGCTTAATTTGACTGACTAATGAGCCTTTGGAGATAAGAACAGACTGACGTTTATCATCTAGATACTGCCGATACCACAGTCTTCCTTTCTATCTTCCTCAAATATCAGGTCTAACAATATGTTCTTCCCCTCTACCACTGCCGGAGCGTTCGAAAACATCTCCAAAGGCCTTGAAAAACTCTGATCTCTGATCTCTGATCTCTCGCCGATGATTGAACAAATGATCAATTGTAAATAATTTTTCCGTATAAGTTTTTGCACATGACGAGGGGCACGAGTAAATGCGACGGATGACTGTGATTAAAGTGTGCTGCTAGTCAGAAGAAAAATAAATAACTAAACAAAAAGAGATAAACGGAGAGAGAGCTAAAATAATGTATTGATGCGTGCCAAAGATAAGTGAGATAATGAAAATCATTGATGACAAACAAATCGACAATTTGCTCAGTACGCTTCGGACAGCCTCTCTAAAAGGGTCTAATCGATAGCGAAAACCCATCCGAGACCAAAAGACTTTTCATTATTCGTACGGCTAATTTGTGCAGCATCGTTTACCAAGAATCAATCGGGCCATAAATCCAAATTTTCCAATTAATGGAGGATCATTGAATTTCAAAGAATAATGAAGTACTTATTAGGAAATGATAATCGATGAGATGTCAGTGTTTCGATAAGCTTTTCTGTCGGTCATTTTGACTCGACCTCAGAATGACTTTAAGTATCAACAAAAGTTGGGCTCTGTTGCATTATAAAGTTTATCATACGTACGAATACCACGTTGATTAATTTAAGTACGTTATAATTGTAAGACTTTTAAATGACAAGTGGCGCGCGAATGGACAATTCATCATTTTTGTATGTTTAATGAGTGGCGTAGTAATTCAACCGATACTGTCGGCAATATCCTCTCCAAGATCGATGTATATAGGAAAGTAACGTCAATCAAATTATTATTTAATTGTAATGACCTTCAAGGTCATTTTTATGATATACTTTATTGAGAAATGAAAGTTTATCTCCAATTGGGGAGCAACTCTGTGGAGGTACAAATTTTTGTACATGTTTTCTTATCGCGCGCTTCTACAACCTTTTTTCTAAAGTTGAACTACGCACATCTTTCAATCTCCTTTCGGAGAAAATAATGTGGAAAAACAAAGTACATTAATATCGTCTGATAAATTACGACCTTTGAGCTGGAAAATGTGCGTTTTTAATTTTGCGATGATCGTGAAAGGGCTATTAATCAAATGGATGATAATTATTATGGTGTAAATTAAATGAGATGAGAATGCAGAGAGAGAAAAAGAGAGCAATGAATAAAGTGTGATGGAAGTGAGTTTCATCGTGTTTTATCGTCCGCAGAGGAAATCAAGTATGGACAAAGTTATGTTAATATTATCAGTGTACGATGAGAGTCGTTTCAACGCATAATATCGATCGTAGAGTCGATTCAATAAATTGATATCACGTAAGAAATAGCCTTTAATCTTATTCAATTTCCATCTCGTTCACCTTTTCCTCGTTTTTTTTCTTTTTATCCTCGTGTGAATTCAATAACCGGTGAGCGCAGCAAAGGTCGAGTCCAGATCATCGCATATATACTTGGCTTTTTGCTTTTCTCTGAACAGACGATCTAGAGTAATTCAATTCCAATGAGTTTGTCCAGTATATTCTTATAAAAACATCATTCTTTATAGTTGCTATTTTTTTTTTAACTTTAAATGCTATTTCTTTACCTTCGCGTATATCCAACTCCTTCTGCAGTATTTTCATTTGATTTTCCGTAATTACAGCTCGTCTCTCTATATCTGTCAACTTCAGCTTCAACTCCTTGAGCTGCAGTTTGAACTCTTCAACTCGCTGATTAGCTTTCTCTTCGGAAACTTCCAGTGACTTGAGTATATTACCAACGATGAAGAGTTCATCCTCGCGTTCAACTATTTTCCTGATAAATAGTACACATTGATGAAGTTTCGATTTACTTTTCAGGGTAGTTAACTTACGCATCGCTGCATCGAATTCTGTCCTCGGCAGCTTCCAGCTCGTCCTCGACGAATGCCAGTCTCCGAGATATTTCGTCAGATTTGCCATCAGCATCTTCAGCTATTAATCGAGCTTCCTTCAATTGCATTGTTAATTGATCGATGCGCTCGTCATCTTGTTTACTGCGAGTCTCCAGAACTTTGCAAATTCTAATAATAAAATACAATTCGTTATCGGAGATAAATAATTATGGCTACCCGTTAATTTATTTGTGTTAAGTGAACTTAAAAGTAATTCTGATAAAAATCAATAGACGAATGAGAAGGAAAATAAACTAATTACCTTTTGGCGTCTTCAGCATTCTCGGTGGCTTGTGAGAGTTTCACCTGTGCGATAGTTCTGCGTTCCTCAGTTTTCTCCAGATACTCCATCGTTTGTTGCATCCTCCTGTTCAGAATAGCCAAGTCTGATTGGACCTGGAAGTCCTTTTCTTAATAAATTCAACATTTTTCCTCTATCAAATAAAATGTGAAATTTTGTACATACCATCAATAACATTCTCTCTTTATCATCGAGACTAGCGTTGGATTGCTTCAAAATATCACGATTGATTCGCAAATCATTCTTCATTTGTAATAATTTCTTCTCCAAATCACGAACTTCATCCTTCAGCTTTTCCTCCCGTTTTTTAGCTTCCCGAGCTAGCTGATCGCAAGTATCCGCCCGTTCAGTTGCAAGGTCTTTCTCGATTTTTAGTACTTGCAATTGCTTTTTTATAGCATTCATGGTGTTCGCGATTGATTACTGCTATAAATACATCCGATGAATGGATGAAAAATATTCTCTCAACTTGATTGATTAGGCTAATTATTTAATTGATCGACATTCAAAAGCGAGTGCTAATGAGTGACTGTACCCACTGACCGAGGAGAACAATCCCTTTATACACCACAAAGTAATGCAACATGAAAAAGACAAGCACATGCTTTAGTTAGAACACAAAGAGATTCTTCACTCTTCTACCAGAGACTTCGATCATTACACGAATAGTCTGTATTGTATTTGTTTATCTTGTTTCAGTACATATCTGGTTAAAAAATGAATTGGCTTTTTGCCAGATGATTAACAACGGGCTAAGAATTTTCGCATAAATTTGTTAAAAATTTAAACTTGTTATTCTCAATGGCAATTCAATTCATGTATCCGTTATACTAAAACTCGAAAGGATATTCTCAAAATTTCAATGAACTCCCATTAATTAAACCCAGAAATTATTTTTTGATAAATATTTGGAATTTTTTGAAAATGACAGAATTCGGATGAGCACCTTCAATTCAATTTCAATTGTGAAAATTATTTAATTGCCATTTGATGATATCCATGAAACATTCGAAATGAATTAATCGCACGTCTTCACATAATACAGTGGTAAAATTAATGAGAATAAGATATTTCCTCGGTTATGAGTATTTATTGAAAACACAAATTTCATATACATTAAAAATATCGAGGAGGAAGAAATGTCATGAAGAAGTAATTAAATCGTTGATTATTCGATGACGTAAGCAAATCCGACATGTTTTGTCATTTCCTTGTTCTGAAAATAAAATAATAATTTGCTCTCAATAAAATATTCCAATGGTGGCAATAATTCAATGTTGCGAAAGAAAAAAAAGCACCGCAGCAATGGTATCAATGCGTGAGTCTTTGATAATATGACTAAATGTTTTAAATTCAACCTAAAGAAGTGGCTCACTCAATTCGCAGTTACAAGCTGTGCGTGTACGCATGAGTTATTTTTAAAAGAGTTTAAAAGGCCGAATTAAAAGTATTCTTCGTTAGATAGCGTGCACTCGATTAAAAGCCAATGGGTACGCAAGCTAAAATAAAGTGTGAAGCTGATGATGACGATGATGATGATGATGGTAATGATGGGCTTTCATTGATTCATGGATTTAGCGAATTTCAAAGCATAATTCATTAAAATTTGATCAGCTTTAATAGCCTGTCATTTCGGCGAATGTCAAGTCGAGTTCATCCGTGATTTCCCGGCATTTTTCCTTTTGTTCTCTGAGGTCATCTGGAAGAGGAACAATTAATTGATTAAAGAGAAAGTCGGGTGATATTGTCAAGAGGGAATAATAAAAAAGCACTTCAAGTCCGACATACCTTCTTTCATATCCACTTCCTTCTGCAATGCCCTGACAGCTTTTTCTGCTAGGATAGCGCGCTTGTCAGCAGCTTTCACTTTTCCCTTCAGCTCCTTGAGCTGTATTTTGGAATCGGCGACACGTTGATTTGCCTACAAATATATTTCATTTAACATAAGAAAACGGTAGAGAATTGTTATGAAAGTCATTTTTAATAGACCGGACCTTCTGTTCGGACACTTCCAAAGACTTGACGATGTTCTTCACGATAAACAGTTCATCCTCGCGCTCAACAATCTTTGCCTCGCTATTTTTAACTCTCTCTTCAGCAGCTTCAAGCTCCTCCTCGACCCACGACAATTTATTAGCTATCTCCTCAGATTTATTGTCAGCATCTTCAGCAATCAGCCTTGCATCTTTCAATTCAGAGGTAAGCTTCTCCATACGTTCAAGATCAAGACGATTTCGATCCTCAAGTACTTTACACATTCGTTTAGCATCATCAGCCAATTCCACAGCTTTCTCGAGTTTTGCCTGAGCGAGTAAACGCAATTCCTCTTTTTTTGAGAGACTCTGTTCAATTTCTTGGACTCGCTTTGTCAGCACAGTTCGATCTTGCTCTGCCTGTCGTGACACTTTCATTAATTTGCAACGAAGCTATCAAGATATAGCCGATAATATTTCAAATCTCTGGGCAATTTTTACTCACCTTGGTCCATGATTTTTCACATTGTTCCAGAGCTACTGTTTGAGTCTCGAGACTAACTTTGGCAACTTCGTAATCATGCTCAAGCGTTACTAATTTTTTAGATGTATCACGCACCTCATCATAGAGAAAATCAGCTCGCTGATTTTGTTGTCTCGCTTTAGTTTCATTGGCTTCTACCATCTCATTAGCTGCATCCATCTCCATCTTCAACGCCGCGATTTTTTTCTTTATCGCCTCCATCCTGGCGCTTTTCTGTTGCCCTGATGATGGTGTTGAAGGACACTTTTCCCTTGTGCTTGATCCTAAAAATTAAATATCTTATTCTTGAGTTATTTTTCATTGGCACACTGATTTCGGGTGAAAACTATTGATATCTCACTCCTCGGATGATGACAATCCAACAGTTAATACCCACAACCGGATACCGTCGTACACCAAGCCAAAATAAAACTAAACGTTAAATGATTCGGCCCTCTCTCTGATGGGCTTTTACCAATCCCTCCATCCAATTGCTATAATTGCTTAGCGAACTTTGGCTATCGTCCCGGTTTTACGGTCACTCTCCTGCTTCGGTTCTTCACATCAACGTTTCAATTCCCCCCTGTAACTCCAACTAGTACCCGAAATGCGATCTCCACCTTCTCATTGTTATTTATAGACACCATCTAAGAATTTACTATCCTGATTTTTAACTGTCCAACGTAACATTCTGCTTTTGTAAACACTAGGACACGGAGGGTTGATTGAATTCGAATTTCCATTTATTACCAGGCAATCCACTATTTTTTCATTCGATGGGAAGGAATTCTAAATGATCATTTCTGTCGCAAATAAATGTTTTTATTAAATTCCTTTTACATCTATGATAATCCATAAATTTCATAATCATCAATTTGCCAAAGAAAAATAATGATGAAACACTGAAAGCAACATTAATGTATATTTACCTAGAAATATTCTTCATTTAATTTTACCCTTGTAGTCTTGTCATGTCATAAGTACATGTAAATAATATAATAATGAATAACACATGATTACAAATTGAATGTAATTTGGAAAATCATTTGCTTATTTTATCGAAAAAGTGATAGTCCAAAGGCGCATTGCTCCAGAGCTATTGAAAAAATCTCCCTCACAATTCCATGATTATTTTTATTAATTTAATCAATCATCCGAATGGTATAAACTCGTATAAAGGCTCATACCACAGACTAAAGTTACTCATCTCACTTGAATTAATTGAGCCAAATGAATTACTCCACCTATATCCTATCTCTGTTTTATGATATAAATTGTCTTTAATTAGTTATGGACGCGTCGGACTAAATTACAATTAATTAATTAAGTCTTCAGCCGATACTTCAGGATGCGCTCAATCAATTGATTATAGTTCTGTTTTCTCTCTTCACATAATAGAATTACTTTCGAAATACGTTGGAGCTCGTTGTCATCGGCCATAAGGTTTTTTTGGTGCTTCAGCTCAATCAAACTTATTGAATTAAAAAATTTTCCAACGAGACTAGTACATTATACAATTTTTTTCTCTTTGTTCCACAGTATTTTTAATTAATAATCATTATAAAGTATCGAACACACTTGATACAAAAGCTGAACAAGAGTAATTAAGTTAAACCATCCGTGTTGCAAGCGTCAATCGTGAAGTTCTATCTAATCATTATTGAAATATTAATCTGGGCATAACCCAGAGGGAACAATTCTGCAGTGAACGCATTATATTCATTTCGAATGTCTTGTTTTGGTTTGACGCTCATTCGTGGCAAGTAACTCTACGAAATTTTCACGCGGTTTAATTCTTCTCTTGCCTTTATATTTTCCCTAGTATTCAGTATTAGCGTAGAATACAACGCGATTAGTTGGTTCATGCAGTCTTTGGAGTTTCGATTAATAGATTGATTTAGTGATTTTTTCTTTACTTAAGTAGATATACCAGACAAATAAAGCATTTTACGAATTTTAATGGGGAATGTTTTCTAGATAAGTTTAAAAATAAATGCAGTGACTGTTGTGAGCCTCAAGTATAAAGAGATAATTATGCTATTTGAGAGCATTAAATTATAGATGGGTATAAGATTAATGGAAGAATGACAGAACAATAGTTCAATAAAAATATGATGAACATGTGAGAACAATGCGTGAGATGATATCACGTCGAAAATAAACGATACGAGAAAGATGAGAATTTGAAAATATTTACAAAAAAAAAGGTGGTCAACAACCCTGTTTATGATTCCCCCAAAGTCCCTCTGAAAATGCTCTAAAAAGTATTGATCCACCGACGATGCTCGCAGCACCGTCATCTTGATAGATTAGAGCCAGTTTCTGAATCAATTGACATCGATAATACAAAAACTGGGGTGTGGGACAGTAACAAGTGGACGGCGTCTTCTCGACCAAGGGCTCGAAGCTGTTTCACAAGGGATCCAACGGTGCATCCAGTTCCAGCACATCCCAATAACCTGGAGAAAACAAAAAGATGCCTCTAAACATCCATTGATCTATTCTATTCGAATGCAAAAATATTGTAAGTGAAAAATTACCTCAGAGTAGGACTATCCACATTGCTATCCAAATTAGCCACGCGATCACCAAGTCCCAGTCTCACTGCGAGTAAACACCAATCCTTTCCATGAGGATCAGGAGGATCCAGCATCTGAGCTAATCTCCTCTGCACCCCAGGCTTGATGAATTTAACTGGTTGCCTTGTCCCAGGGATACAAGTATCCAATAAAGCAGTTCCACATCCGACAATTTCCCAAACGCTCTCCTGACGTCCATTGAATGGATTTTTTAACTTAGCTTCATCGAATCCTTTCTCCAATAAAAGTGACAACATGGTCGCTGGCTCCCACGTATGCAGAACCTCGTCATAATCTCTGAGTTGGCTAGGAGACAGCCAGTGCTTCTCCAGAAGTAATGCAGGCGCTACAATTTCAATGGTAGCATCGATAGCATCAAAAACTACTCCTAAGAGTGCAAAACATTGGGATCCACAACCTCTTGGTCCCCGAACCCTCACTTCGATGTACCCTTGGTCTTCTTCTTCGAGAGTTATAATACTTTCGCATGGTCCCACACAGAGTTTTGACCCTCGCCACCACTGATACAGATCAGAATCTCTGGGATCCCATGTCTGTGTAATTTTTCTCAATTGTGATTGCAAATGTGGAAAAATTGGGGTCAGATGATAGAGAGGAGCTTCCCCAGGGAATAATCGAAGTCCTGCGTGAGGTAGTGTTGTTGAGCAAGGCTTCCAAGGCTCCCAGAGACCTGGCAGACGTTCCACAAGGTTCAAACAGGGAATTTCGTACTCGAGCTCATCGTCCTCCACGTCACAGGGAATGCAGAAGTTCGTTGCTTGAAGGACCTGGAGAGCTTGGTTCGCGGGGCATGGACATCGTGCTTGAAAATCTTCGAGTGTAAACACACCTGTTGTACGACCACCTAAACGACCTCGTTGCTCAGGACTCAATTGCCAGCCTATCACATCTCGCCACAACCATTCTGGAGATAGAGCCACTAAATCGTTTTGGAGGAGAACCGCTTCTCCCAGCGTCTGAACAAGATAGGCATTTGTTGCGAATTTTAATATTTTTCTTTGAAAGTAAGCATTGCACTCTGAAAATTCGTAATTTTTCGTGTTCAAATGGGTTATATAATTCAAAATTACCTGTAGCTGTTGTGCCAAATGTCGGCAATGCTCAATGGAAACCAGTGGATTAATTTTCCTAACTTCAAGAAGCAATTCTTGAAGTGTCAACAGCAAAGGTGGATCCTCGAGTGTGAGAATATGCGCTTTCCAGGATTCAGCCAATCCGGTCCATACCATTGCCCCCTAAAATCCAACCATTCATCACAACCCAATCACTCAAGCAAAATCATCATACACGATAAGCACAAAGAAAGCATTTCTTATTTTATGTTTAGTTTTCATAATCTCAAAAGCAAGGTAGTGCATTGTATGTTCTTAATTGACGTGAAAAAACTGTGCACCACAAGTGACAATAAAAATCAATGAAAATTATCAGTGTTATTTATAATGAGAGAAATAAGATGATAAATGGAGACCTGGTTATCATGATTTGCCACTGGCGCGTACATGGCCGCTGCCCGGGGCTTGTCACGACGGAGAATACTTTCAGCTGCATCCCGTCCATCCTATTATCATGCGTTGCATGCATTAAGGCACTTATTGCAGTTCACAATTTAATAACTAATTTTTAAATTCAATGGAACAATGTTTATCATTAATGTTTCAATTGATCAACGACTGTTTACACAGAAAGAACATTTCCATACGGATTTTTTTTTTTCGTTGTATCAATAAGTACGCACAGAAAAATTAAAACCTTAATTACGAAATTCAAACACGAGATTACGAGGTTTGCCATATAAAATGCGAATTTAAACTCGTGAATTGCATGGAGAGAAATATTGAATAAAAATTGCCGACTCACAATTTACTCAGTGATTACGAAAGCGGCTGAGAATGAAATACATGAAAATAAAATAAAATTCCAAAAAAGTTTAAGAACTCTCTGAAAAATGCTGAGACAGTTACGCGATATGAAAAAAAATCTTTTTTCATCATGGAATTACAAAATGATATTTCATTCTTATTGAATATTTCTCTTCGTCTTACGAACTCGAAACCATGAATATGGGAGATACGCCTCTTTCATTAAACAAGGGATTTTTGGGACTTGCGCGGTTTTGCTGTTGAGGCGACGATTTGATTCATCTGATTTGGTCCCTCACACTTTTATAAATACTCCCAACAGCCCTTTTCTCTCCCAAAGGTGTTAATTAATGTAGATGATATGACACAATTATTTAATCCTTTTTACAAAATATATATTTGTATGATAACATGCGCACGAATTATCCGTTGAGCCCAAATCATGCTGAATGAATAGTTATTTCATTGAAAGAAAAATTCACCAAAAATTTAAGTGAATCAACTCAAATGAATAATCATTATTTTTATTTTGTGGGTTCTTGCATGCTATGATTTCGTGCGATCACTAGCATATCAAGAAATTGATTTTTTTTTATCCCAAATAAAATGTTAATGGACAAAATAATTAGTAAACTGAGAAAGACCAAGAGATAATAGAAGAGGGAAGGAGAGAAGAGACTAGATCCGGTATGGTGGAAGGAAAATTTATTACCTCGAGGAATTCCATTCGCGCATTTGTCAGATAGGATCGAAGAAGTTTGACACCTGGATTCGATGAATTTGTGGCGTCTAGTACGACCACTTGTGGCTCTTCACCTAAAATTGGGGTGAATTCTCGGAGAAATTGTAGCAATGGAGCGAGAAAATTGGTTCCATTGGAATTTGGTGTCTGAAGCTCTGGGGCGTAAGTACCTATGAGGATTACCTTAACATCCTGGCACTTTCCCGCAAATCCTAATAAACAAAAAGATTATTTATTCTATCTGTCGCCCTTGTATCTGAAGAGAAGTCAATTAATTCATCCAGAGATTGCTCCATAAAGCTGAAGATTGGGTTTGGGAGATGAGAAAATTTTTTTATACCAATATTTTTCGGCGGAATTCTGTCCATAATGAAACGAAGCCAAAAACGCGCCTGCTGTAGTTGAACGGTGAGGGGCTCTCGAAGGCTAATCGTTATCAAATGAACGGCGGGTAATTGGTGAGTCAAAGCATGATGATAAGATGCTAAGAAATCCTCACGACCGCAAAATTCCCAAAAAATGCATTCCCCTCCTATAAAAATAAAAACAAGTAGGTCACGCACGCTGACAATATTTATTGCTTAAATTTTATCATTGCCTTTCATTACTCACCAACATTACCGCGACTCCATTCTACACCAACAGTCCCCTCATACTCGTTATCACTGTATTCAAAGCTTAATGAGCCGTGCTTACTCGTTACATCCAATTCAATGCTTGGTTCTCGCTATGCCCAAAGAAATAAATTATATATTTGTAATATTTTGTTGAAAAATGGTGGAATGTCAGTAATTCAGTCGACACGTAATTTAAATAATATAATTTACTTTGGTTGTGCAATTTTGACTCCTAGATCTTCGGAAAAATCCAAAACTGAATATTCCAGACTTCAAGGAATTTATCAAGGACGTTTTTCCTGTGGCACAATGTCCCAACAGGCGTACGTGTAGGCGATCAATTGCCTTGTGGGTAGGCTGTAGCTGTTTTACATAATTCTCTCGTTGATTTCCCTGCGGACAATCATGAATTCAGTCACTTCCATACCAAATGACCTCGCTAAGAACTACCAAAAAACATATGATATATGAAGAATATCTACACTTCTCAGTTTATCCAAAAGATTAGCTATTTCAAGATGTCCATATTTGATAGCTGTTACATCCGCCCGAATTCCCCGATTTGTCTTGTCAACATCGCATCCAGACAGACACAAAAGTCTGACGATATTAATGTGGCCATTGCGTGCTGCAACGTGCAAAGGAGTCAGGCCTTTTTCATTCGTCGAATCAAGTTCTACTCCATTTTCGATCAAGAGCCCCGTCATCGATTCGTCACCGGATGCACACGAGATGTGTAGAAGACTATCTTGCTTCTAAAATAAAATTGTTAACGAGTTCTCTAATTATTCTATCTAATTTTAAAATAAAACTGACAGATATATTTGTTTCACATTATGAGTTAGCAATCGCGTCTGTTTATTATTGCATGTCCCAAAAATTGTAGACATTCATGAAAAATCTCAACTAGACTCTGCTTTCATTTTTTTTTTTCACCAAAATTAATAGTTATATGATCATAAAGCCATCTACACGAATGTTGTATTTTAGACGTGACAGAGACTCACAGCATCCTTGACATCCAACGAGGCGCCTTGTCTCAATAATTGCGATACTGCTTGGACACAGCCGCGTTTAACAGCACTTATCATAGCAGCGCTCAGATCCTGCTGGGTTTCGGACTCCTGATCATGACAAAATAAACCCTTTTTACTCCACTAAAACCAAGAAGTTAATAAACCTCTGTGCTTTCATTCCTACTCGATAAAAATGTGATCATGCATTTGTGAGTTGCCTGCCATTGTGTGAAGGAAATGAAAAATTGTTTTGCTGTTTTTTTTCTTCATTATTTACAGTTTTCAATATGTAATTGTTCGTTAAACTTCATTATATATCTTACAAGTGAAATGAGAATTTTGCTTCGTGACTTATTACGAAAGTGAAGAAAAGCTTAATCGAATAAGTACAAAGAAAGTAAAGTAATAAGGAATGTATATAAACTGAAGTAAAGTAACTATGTGGTGTATAAATAAATAAGGCTATTTGATGCAGGAACACACCGTAAGGATCCAGGGATGTTTAAGGCACGACTCAGCGCTCCCTCGCTCCCTAAACATCGTAAAATAATAAATTGATCAATCATTTTAAATACAAAATGGTTTAAAATCATTGGCTTTATGACGCTCACGATAACTTACTTTGGATCCTTAACTAAGAGGGAGCGTATGAAGTCCTTGGCAATTTCCGTAACATTGCCAAAATACTCATCATCGAATTGGTACTGGCAAGCAGCAACATTGGCATAAGTTTCTTGTTTATCTTCACCAAGAAATGGCGAAGCACCGCTCAGTAGAATATACGTTAGCACCCCAACTGCCCACAAATCAGTTCCCAAACTGAGGGGTTCGTAATTAACGATTTCAGGTGCTACAAATTCTGGTGTACCAAAAAGTGCACGAAGCTCAGAACCTGGCGCTAGACGATGAGAAAGTCCTAAGTCTATTAATTTAATATTTGGCATAGGTGGAGGCGTCGACAACAGGATATTCTCCGGTTTAATATCCAAATGAGCCACTTGATGCGAGTGTAAATGACTGAGGGCCATCAAAACCTGTCTAACGACATGTGCAGCTTCAGCCTCGCTCGATGGTGTCCAGTGAAACAATTCCCCATCAGAAATCAATTCCAGAAGCAAAACAACTGTCTTTCCAGTGTCTATCACCTTGTGGAGAGTAACAATATTGGGATGACGAAGTTGCGCCAGAAGTCCTGCTTCACGTGCTGAAACAAATAGAAATGCAATTAATATAAATGCAATTCACTGCATTTACATAACTATTCCCTCATTCTGTTATACATTTTCTTGCGGTTTACCTATATCAGCTGCAGCTACTCCCCTCGCCACTCTTCTCTTCCTCATTATCTTTGCAGCATAAACCAAACCTGTTTTGAGCTCCACGCATTTCCGGACAACGGCAAATTGGCCCCTGAGAAAAAAAATCCCAAATAATAACGAATCAAATAATTCAATGAATCAATAAATACACAAAAACCACTCACTTGCCAATCTCCTCAAGAAGCTCATAATTTTTTTCAATAGCTTCGTGATGAACCTCCATCAGACTGTCCCATTCAGGACCTTGTGCCCACGAATAATATTAAATAACATGGAAAAATAATATTTACAAATGTAAAAAAAAGGTCCGTGATCACTCGACAATACTCCCAATAGCTGATAAACTCAATGAAAAAAATATTACTCAATTCACTGGCGATTTGCAAACCGCCGAGCTTGAAGCATCTGTCAACCTCAAAATAATGGAATAAATCAATTTACCACTGTTCGATGCTGCAAATTGTCGAGACGTGCCCGGCATCATCTCCCGATTTTCCTCCACATTTGTATGATTTTTTTTTTTCACCACCTACACTCAACGTATGTTTAAAAAATAAATCACACAAATAAAAACCGTTACGGAAAAGAAATGAACAAAAATACGTTGTCACTTGTGGTGTGTCGTTTTCCCCCGGCCTTTTACCATGCCGGGCCTCGATTTGTCTCTCTACCCAGGCCTATGTACTCACATTTACTTTACACATACACACACACATACACAAGCCTGGAATCAATATATGCGACGCCACCTCGATGTACTTGGTAAACACCATTTACGGTATCAACAAATTACGCTTATCTGTTTTCACAGCGTTAATATTGTGGACCTTGAGTGAAAGAAATAAATAATCATTCTGACCAGGAGACTCTCAGGCCAAATAACAAGGAGTGAAAAATTAAACGTGTAAATTTACAATAACTTGCTGTACATTGGAGACTCACTTGGACTCACTGTTACTGACTGAAAGGATGTAGACAACGGTGTGGGACATCTTCCCATGAAAACAGCTCATTCTTTTCCCATGTGCGTGGGAAGCATTGAGCTTAGTTTTAAAATCCATTTTCCTTTCACCCAACGGGTGTTCAAAGAAATAAACATTTCAACACCTAATGCCCAACCCTAGGCCGTCCCCCATCGCTAGATATTTACCATACAATGGAAACAGGAAGGGGATGGGTTAATAATCGTAGATTACGTTATAAAGTTGATTCTTTCTTTCTCCATTGAACTTTTACAAATCTTCCATTATCTTACGTAAAAATGCCATTTGTTATTGGAACAAAATTCTCAGAGATGTGCGAAAGAATGAATGTGAAAATGAAGCGTTTAGCTAGAGTAAATTAAAGGCGATTTGTGAAAAATAACGCAATTTTTTAACCAATGTAGTGATTATTCCATCATCGATTGCTCTGTGGGCATAGCACTCGGCTGATTATCGTTCCCTTTCTTTTTAATGCCTGATACGATGTCATCGATTCTCAAGAGAAGAATAGCTGTCTCGATAGCTGTTTTGTATGTCTGCATTTTAACGCTCAACGGCTCCCAGATTCCTCGTACTTTCATGTCCACTAGCTCACCAGTTTCACCGTCTATTCCCCAAGTGTTGCCTTCTGTTGCGTGCTTTGCACGCAAAGCTGTCAGGGTACGGATTATATTCGCTCCACAATTTTGAGTGAGAGTCCTGGGAATTATATCCAAAGCTTGAGCCACTGCTTTGTAGGGCCATTGTTCAATACCAGCGATACCAGCCGCTTTTTCATTCAACAGACGAGATACTGCCATTTCAACAGCTCCACCACCTGCAACGCATTTCAAGCACGAAAATGAAACATTTTTAATCACTGAATAATTAAATTATGTTATGAACTCAATATTTACCCGGAACCAATTTCGGTTCAATCAGCAGATTCTTAGCCACATGAAGAGCATCCTGAAGATTCCTCTCGGTTTCATTGAGCACATCCTTGCTGGCACCTCGTAGAACAATGGTGCAAGCCTTAGGATCCTTGCACTCAGTGATAAAACAAAAGTACTCATCCCCCATCTTCTTGATTTCAAATAGTCCAGCCCCAGTACCAACGTCTTCCTCCCTGAGCTCCTCAGTTCGATTAACAATAGTTGCTCCACATGCTCTCCCAATCCTGTTATTATCAGACTTACGCACACGACGTATCACTGAGATACCAGCTTTGAGAAAATAGTGGGATGCCAAATCAGCGACTCCCTTCTCAGTGAAAACAACATCAGGCTTGACAGCAATCACCTCCTCGCAGATTTTTTTGATGTGCTCCTCCTCGAGCTCCAGAATCCTGGTGAAATCAGTATCCTTCATGATCTCAACGTTCGTCTGGGACTCACCCTTCTTGTACTCCAGCACACAATCTAAGAGGACAATTCTGGGATTCTTGATGCTTCTCTTCATCTTAGGATGAGTCACATCTTTATTCAGCATAACTCCACGAAGCACGTGACTCTCGTCAATACTGCCTCCAGGAATTTTTTCCACCTTGGCATACCTCTTGATGTCGATCTCCCGACGTCCATTCTCCTCAAGCAAAACAGTATTGACAGCATCAATAGCAATTTGACAGGCCAACTCTGACCAACGACCAATGAATTTCGTTCCCACACAGGATTTCACGACTTCAATGACTTTGTTCCTATCGGTGATGTCCAGACTAATGCTGACTTGGTCCTCCAGAATCTTCACCATGTCCTCTAGAGCTTGTCTATATGCCCTGATGATGACGGTTGGGTGAGTTCCCTGCTCCAGGAATGGCTCAGCTGTGGCTAGAATTTCTCCAGCCAGGACAATCACTGATGTGGTACCGTCTCCAACTTCTTCATCCTGAGTACGGGCAATTTCAATCATTGATTTTCCTGCTGGATGTTGCACAGTGATCTCACGGAGAATTGCATTCCCGTCGTTAGTCATTACTATTCCTCCTGTGGGGTCCATCAGCATTTTAAGCATTGCTTGGGGACCCAGACATGTTCGAATGACATCGGCGATTGCCTGAGGATTCAGTAATTTGAGATGAATTTCATGAGAATTTCAGTTCTGGAGCATAAACATATCGTTTGTAAAAAGTTTAAAGACTAAGAACTTTTTACGTTACAGGTACAGTTAGTAGGGAGTATAAGGCAATATCAAGGTTAGAATTTTCAAGCATGGTTTAGAAAAATATTGCTGAAAGCATAAATGCGTAATGATTATTTATTCGAACATGAAAATTTTCTGATGGAATTTGCTGGAAAATACTGCACGTGGGCGTGACACCGGTTTTCGCCTTATAAGGTAAGGATTCTCGTAGAACACGTGTTTAAGGCATTTTTTTACTCACTTTACCAGCTTGAATGTTCTCCTTCTGAACTTTTCTGCCGGAATCACGGCTTGTGTTCTGACCTGCAATAATCAGTAAACCGGGCATTATTTTTACGAAATAGTGACAATTTTTCGTGATACTAAACAAGGCACAATGTTCATCATCAATTGTTTTATTTCGGAGCAGAATAATTGATTACTCACTTAGAACTACGATCGGTGCTGATCCTGGACCGAACATCTTTTATTTCTTATATTTTCGAGTATTGAAACTAAACTTTCATCAAGTGAGTAATTAAATTGTGAGTGATTGACTTTTCTAGGGATGGATGAAAAGAGTTACCATCGACTATATTTGGTTAATTTTCCAGGTATTGTAGGGGATTGCTAGTGCTTATGAAAAGGCTTCAATGGAAATGGCTTATAGTGGTGGCGCGTGAACTAATCTAAAACATTATCGTGTGAATAAGGAAGGACCACATTCACCTTGTCAACTGCTGGGGAGAGATTTTGCGCGTATTTCCCGACTTAAAACTCATTTTTTTGCTCCCGTTAGGGGGCGTGGTGCAGGTTTTGTGAACACGGGCGCGGTGATAATTCAAATTAAATTTTTGGATATCTGTCGCCAATTACAAAACATTTATTATTTTTATTGCAGACAAACTGGAGTAGAAGACACCAGAGAGGATTGACTAAAGTAGAGGCTCAGTTCTGAGGGTTTGAATGACCCCAGCAGCATCGTAGTATTGCACCCCAAGAGAGGGAGAGCGCCACACGCAATGCTGGGGTGTTTTTTTTATTAACCAAGTTTTTATTGCGATGCTGGGGTGTCCATCAAGTCGACGGGGTGAATTTTATTTTCTGCGGTATGAAAATCCCTCAGAAAATAAAGTTCACCCCGTTGACTTGATAGACACCCCCGCATTGTGTGTGGCGCCCTCCATCTCTTGGGGTGTAATTCATGTTTGCCAAGTATACGGTGGTCTATTCCGGATGTTCAAACAACTATCGATACTTAGCGTCTCATGGGATCGAATTAGTTAGTATCGATACAACTATTTATCGCGTTGATGAATATCGACAATGACTGAAAATCGTGACTTAAAATGAGAATTAAAAATTATCGGATTAACAAATCTTATAAAATGGCTTTCGCACTATTCATTAATGTAAAATATTCGGCAACCTGCTGAAGATTCACAATTTTACGTATTTTTTTTCTGACATATGTCTGGAAAAAAAATGTCGAAAATGGAAGTAACGAAACCAACGAGACACACCAGCGACATTTTTCTTGTACTCTTCAATTGTACATATGTATAGATATATAGGACATAACACACACACGACGAGTGTGCGTGGAGTTAAAGGGGCGGGTGTGTTCTACACTCGCGTCTAACCGTAAAAATAGTCGAAAACACATAGAGAACATGTCGTTAAGGGCTGTGAGTGAAGTGACTCTTGCAAGACAGTGAGTTCTCGATGGTTTGCAGTAGTTAGTGGTGTTAGTGCATTAATCTTTGTGCGACAAGGGGACAATCTGTATGATTGGGTTGGTTTGGCTGCGTAAAGCTCTCAGACCTCACAGGCTCACAATTTTCCCTATGGTTGTCTCTCGCAAGCTCCCCACAATTGATCGGTTTTCTTGTTATCCCTCAAAAGCCCGAGGTGAATATATGTATGGGGCTGATGAAGAAGTGGCCAGAAGGTGAATCAAATGATAATAGCAATGAGAATGACGCGCCGCATTAATGTTAAATGTGTTGAACAGTGTCAACTTGATCCATCACACGTAGCTAATCGGAGCTTCAAGTATTTAGTGTGAGATAGACTTGGTTATTGTAGATTTTAGAGTATAAATAGCAAGAAATTTCTTATGGATAATGGATAAATAAGTGGTGAAAGCTGAAGAGACTAGCGTATCCCCCGTGCCGGGTTTTTCCGAGTGGATTGAGCGTCAAAAGGCGACGTACGGATAACAACTTTGGTGGAGACGTTGGAGGATCCGGTCGGAATTTTACTCAGCAAATTTTCTCAGCACAACTTGATGACAATATGGCAACTCATGGAGGTGGTGCTGGAGATGACGGCTCGATTGCCGGTGGAAGCACACCGTCGACATCATCACCAACACCTTTGTTAATGTCAACGTCACCCATATCTGCGAGAGAGTATCGTGTGGCACAGGGCCACGGTCAAACACAAATTTCACAGCAGAAGCCCAATAACTTTGAGCCACTCGATAAGAGCTGTTCCAATACGCTCAAGGTTTTTATCTCGTTTTATCTTGTTTTATTTACTCAATACGATTAGAACTTTTCAGCCTTCATTATTTCTTTCTGGTTTATTTCATCAACCCCTTTTTTATTACTTTACCGTTAATCATTTTTATAATGATTCAGTAATTTTTGAATTTCTAGCGGAATCCGAAGATGGAATTGAGTAAGACAGACTTGCTGAAACTGCTTGGATACCTCGAGGGAGAATTGCAGGCTCGTGATATCGTAATTGCTGCTCTCAAGGTAATTAAACATTAAATGAATTTTATCACAGCGGAGGTAAATTTTGGTGATGATAGAGGTGACTAAGAGGCTTATAGGCAAATTCGTCGATTCGGTGTAGGAGAGATTTTCGTGAATAATTAATACAGAGAGACTCCTGTTACACTAGTATTGCACTCTGTAAAGTGATTCTAAACCTTCTATGATTATAAACCAATGATGAAGCGGTTTGTTGAAAATGGGGATGGAGAACTAGGGCAATTGAATCAATTTTCAATATCTGTAGTATGAGCTGATTGCATTGCTGTTTAAATTTCAAGTCGGAGAAGATGAAGCATCTGCTGAATTCCCGGTATCGAAGTGGCACTACTGATCCCTATGTAGCTCTGGCACGAGATGTTGCCATTGTCGGGGGCGTTATGCGAAATGACAATGATCAGCTCGAAGGAAAGATTCCGAATTTCAGTGTTATGATTCTCAAGCAGAAGGTGTGTCAGAAACGAATGGTCACGATGTTAGAGGACGCAGAAATCCGGCACAGAGCGGTATGTGAATGGCACAATTATTATTTATTTTTTTCAATAAATCCCCTGTCTATTCAATTGATTAATAAAAAAATTGAATTGCTAGAAATAATTAATAATTGTAATTGAAGGTGATTGAAGAGTTAGAAGAAGAAAAACGCAAACACGAGCACGATACAGCGCAGGGTGATGACATAACGTACGGACTTGAAAAAGAACGTACTAGATTGAAAAAAGAATTGGAACTCGAGAGGCAGGAGAAGAAACGACTAGAGATGGAATTGAAAAAGGAGACTTTAGCCCTAGAAATGGAAAAGAGTAGACAGAAACAAATTGTTCTCCTGCTCCTAGCAGAAAGAAAGAAAATTATAATGAAGTACATCGAGGAGCGTAAACGCTCTGAGGATTTGGCGCAAATACTGAGTGAGGAAAAAGTGAGAATTGATTCGTTGGCTGAGGGTCTGGAGGAAGAGAGTAAGAAGTCACTTCAGATTGAGGCAGAGTTGGAGAAACAATTTGCTCAATTTGATATAGAAAGACAGCAGTATCGACAAGCACTTTCCAAGGAAGAGAAGAAGTCAAAGGACCTTGAGACAGAGTTGGAGAGAATGAAGGGAGAGTTGGAATCGTGGAAAAGTGGTGCTGCAATACGTGGAGGTATCAGAGCTCCTTTGGGTGCCACACCACCTCCACCACCTGCTAAACCTGCGAATTTGGCCGCTATGCCCACTCTCAGACCTGCTGGCGTGGCAACACAAGCATGTTAGTTTTTTTTTTCATTCATTTTCAGTGAAATATTCCTTTCATCTATCCTCAGTTAAAAAAATACAAATTAGCTTGATTTACCTGACTTATTAAAATGATATGAAAAATGTGAATCTTTTTTTTTGTAATTCCAGTGAAAGGAGCACCTGTTCTAGGCACAGGAACCCCAATGGTCAGTAGTAAAGTTGTTCAACCAACAGCGACAGTTTCCAGTGTGCCAGTGAGTGGACCAAGTAAGTATTCATTGGTATTTGAAATTCAATCATGCTGCAAAAAGACATGGATGAATGGGAAATGCATGAGAGAAATGAACACGAGCATTCTCGATAAGTTGGAAACTAATAAAGCAGAAGGAGTACGATTATACTTTCAATGCTATTCAATGGTCTCTTTAGAATTGCTTTTCATTTCATTTCATCTCGAGGAGAAACGTTAAACTTTCATGAAGACTTTTGGTATAAAGAAGACTTATCCGAGGAAATATCGGTGAGGCATTTGTGATGGTGATCAAGTTTTTCAATAGTTTTATGAGCTAGTAAAAAGGAATTAAACATCTTCATTCAGAATTGAACAAAAGCCACAGGAATAAAATGTTGGAACTATGTGATCATTGTACAAAGAAAAAGTTTGAGGGCGTCTTGGGGATGCTGTGGAAATTTATATTCACTATTTGGACATAAATACTGATATCTAACTGAATTTGGATTTATTTCAAAAAGATTATAACATGGTCCATTATTTTTTTCAGCCACGGGTATCGCAAGATCAGTGACACCCCGTCAAGTAATGCGAGGTGTAACGTACGGTTCAGCTGTCGCTCCAGTCTCTATCGCCCCAGCACCGTCTCCTTCAGTGAGTGGCACTATCGCAAATGACAGTGCAGCACCAGTCACCTCATCGCAAGGGACAGCTCCCCCAGGTCCAGCAGTACCTGCTAACATTATAACAACTGGTCCCCAAACCGTTGGTGATACCAATACACCGGTCCCCGAGCCCCAGGTAATCCAACAATTTTCTACTCGATCCACGTTAATCTAAATGACCTTTCTTTCCATTTTTCCTTCATTTTATTATCTCCATTATTCATTTTCGATAATGAAAAACACGTGTATTGATTCACACGTTACAGCCACGATTGCATGTCTCTATTCTTTATTAATTATCTGGCATCTGTATTTTTTTATGCACAGAAGATAATCTTCCAAATTTGATTTTCCAAATGTACCCAAAATGTTTCCGACATTTTAATGCAAATATCTTTCTTTTCCGTTATTTTCATGTGATTAAATTCTTCAATGCAAAATCACTAGGATTACGTCATTTGAGGGAGCTTAATTGGATTCTAATGTTGGTATTTTTATTTTTTTTTTTATTTTGAAGTTATTGTTAATATCCATAAGTATACATATGATGATATGTGGGACAAGAGACATGAAAGGCCTCATACGTAATTTTCATTTTTTAAACGTTTTACTTTCTTACAAGTGGAATCAGTGGTGAATTCGTTAAACGTACCAAATCTATTTACTAATCATGACTTTGTAATTCTAGTTCAAATAAAATTATCATATTTGACGTTTTAACGTTAACAATTTCACTACTGAATCGATGAGATATGATCGACAGATAGTCTATTTGTACTTGATATTATGTTAGCAACTTTCTAGTCTTATTATTCATTATTCTCTTAGTAACCAGTGAGTACTTACGAAGATTGTGAATTCGACACAATTAATTCCCCCCTTCCATTATTTTCGTTGAGAATTATTTTAGCAAATACTGGTGGTCACCTGTTCAGAATTGAACAACAATCATTGACATATTATTTAAGCTAAAAATTGCAGCTGCACTCTCATTAGTACCTAGACTTAGAGAGACAAAGTATTTTTGCACTGCTTTTTCGTTGGTATTTTTTAGTTTAATGAGACTGCAGCTGTAAATTCCACTATTTATTCTTTATTATTTCTTCCTCGAAACATTAAATGAATCCAAAGATACTTTCAATACTTTCCTCTAGACACGATTATAATTTAAAATATCTTACTTTTGAAAAACGGAAATAATAATTATACGAAGAACGTAGAATAACTTCGCTCTTCCAAAATCACCCTAAACAGTTTGAATATACTATTGTACATAAGCCGTATTATTTCGTATGTATACCAACTTAATTCCTCAATTAAATATTCGTATGCAACTCACTTCCGTGCTTTATTTACACAACAATTTCCCTGCTTGACCTTTTTATGTGCAAAGAGGACACAATAAAAAGTAAACATTACAGTACAAGAGAGACGAGAAATACATAAATATCCAAGGAACACCTGTGCCGGTGGGATAGTCTCCTGTGCAAAGAAAGACCAAAACAAAAAAAAAAGCTCAAGAATTTGAGATATTTATTATTTTTCTGCTTCGTTGTATTCATTTCATTTATTTTTCCTTTAATCCACAACATCTTCGGCAAACAAATGGTTCTCATATCTGTGCTATGCATCCACGTACTCCACTTCTTCGAAAGAAACCCATCAAGTACACAAGAAAATTGTTAAAGGCAAAATTCGTTGGCTTTATTTGGTTTGGTTGATGGTTGTTACATGGGCTTGGTTATTGGACACCGCAAGAATCTTCAATCTTTTATGAAAAATCAAACGATTGTTGACTAATTGTGATACACATTGTGGCTGTGATGTGTTGATTCCCCAGACAACTGATAAACGAGTGGTAACGAACGAGGGAAAGTGTACATCATCAGCAACAGCATTAAAATCATCATTTCATGGTGCACCGGTGGCTGCAACTGGCAAAAAACCACTGGTTCCACGTGGTATGCCACCACCCGTACCTCCAAATAAGCCGGTGGTACCACCCAAAAAGGAGGCTGCTTACATGAGACGCCCTGATCCCAATCAACCACTCCAAGATACATTGAAAGTCACTAAACAGCCGACATGTCAGAGTCAGGGGTTAACACAACAGCCAGCACAGCCAGCACAGCCATCATCACCCATTCCCACTCATCAACAGGTCCCTGATGAGGTAAATTCATTATTCAACGTTTCAACGTATTCCCCGGGGGATTTCCAACAGAAAAATTCACGCTGGGGGACTAATTCAGTTGATTCATCATTCAGAGGGGGGAGGATTTATGGGGAGGGAGGTTCAATTGAGTTTTTACAAATTCAGAGAGCGGAATTGAGATTAATATTTACATTCAATTTAGGAGGGCACCGGCCAAGTCCAACGGCAGTTGGTTTTTCATTTCATTTTTACCAAGAGAATTATTTTTATAACCTGCCGCTCGTTATTGATATTAAAAATTAATGAAACTGGAAATATTATTTTTGGAGAAAGTTTTGAGGTTTAGCATTAAGGATATTTGAGTATTTTTGATGAGAAATTGTCAACGTACTTGGATATCCTTAAATTGCGGAAATGAGAATTCCATATTTGAAGAAAGAAATCAAGTCAGATTGCGAGGAGATGAGGAGCATTAGAAGAGGATGATTGAACCGACGATCTAATTTCCTGTCTCGCTAAACTCATTTTATTCCATTGATTCTTTCTTTTCTTAAAGATGGGGATGGATGTATATTTAAATGGAGGAGAAAATTAGCGGTTTTCCCTCGACGTGACAAAACATTCAGACAAGATGAATGATCAACCGCATTATGCAATCGGAAATTGGTGTGGCTTTCTAATCAAATCATAACCCATTTCCTTCTTATTTTCCAGTGAAACATTAAAATACCCTATTGTGAGAAATGAAACGACAGAATTAACTCTATCAGCTGATATTTTTCTCTCCCTACCCCACCGATTTCCGCGGAACTCAATTAATTTTGTGAAAACCTTTTGCAGACAAAACCACGCTGATTCGCTGTCAAATCACCATGATCTCTGGATAGAACGTGAATAATCGTGGATTGCGCAACAAAAACGTTGCAATCCAATCATTCACTCCATAGCACATGCACTTAATTCGTTGATTAATTGTACATTTCAATCTGTTCGATACAGATTTAAAGAAGAGATTTTACGTTCGCTATCATCACTGCCGCCTCACTACAGATGGATGATCAATATTGTGGAATTTATATTGTGAAAATGTTTAAAGATGGGAGAATTTTCAAAGAACGTAGCACTGATGGCTTGTTTGATCGTATCATAAATACTCAAAAATCAATTGAAACATCACTGATCTCGAATAAAGGATAATAAAATAAGGATAAAACGAATAAAACTGATGAATTTAGGAAACAAATTCGAGGAGATATTTCACTCGACTCCTCAACATTTGCTTGTAGATGTCATTGATTTCATTAATCGTTAATGTAATTTTAAAATAAGGATGTCATGGGGATCTCGTAGAATGTTCAACGAGGAATTTTACTTTTATACATCACCAATATAACGCCATACAAAAAATACACAATAAAATTGTAGGAGGGTGAATACATTAGATACCTCGAGATGACTCTTCAAAAGTTCAGTGAACAATAATGGGCTTTGTACACGTGTTCATGTGGTATTTCAGGTTAAAGTGGAAAACCTGCCACCTCGAGGGTTAAACATTTTTTAAGAATAAGGGGCTATGGCGAATGATTCATGGAATCCGATGAATGAAATTTTATTCCCTACAACTTTTATGTTCATTTCCTCAATCTTTTGCGGAAAAAAAATTGGTAGTTGCTAAATATTAAATAAAGTCCTCCAGCTCTCAATGGGAATAATATCGGGATAGAGTTGAATGAAACACAAAATTTGAAGAAGAAAAACGAAACCTGTTTTCAACAATCTACGAAATACCCATGACATTCCTGAAGTCACGTGACGACGTGAGTCCTCTGATCTCTGAGTGCAAGCCCATGAAATGGTACAGTCTTCCAGAATCGCTGAAACCTGGTTTTTCTCTCATGTACTTCATCACCCGAGTCCCGAATCATGATAAAGAGAACAGAACAGAAGTTTGAAAATACAAAACAATTGATATTGTGCTTTAGCTTCGCCTTCTCCTGAAGTAAGATTCAATGATCCAAAGGAAAACAATTGCCGATAAAACTCCGACGCCTTGATCATAAATGTCCCTTGAAACGAGATGTAAATTTCACATCGCCCTTTTCAAACTCAAACAAAATAAAAATCTAAAGAAGCAAAATTTATGGTAAATCACTCGATCGTAGATTGTCCAATTATTGTAATCCTAAGCGAACCTTTTAAATGTACAACATTAAAACGTTAAGGAGTAGCAAAGAGATAAAACAAGATGAATCAATAGCACTTTGAGTTATTTTAGAAAAATATCGTGAGAATCAACTTCAAAGTGAAATTGCCTCACCTTCTTTTTTTCAACCCTTCCCAGCCAAAATGAATCGAACTAATGATAAAATATATGTAAATATACATATATATATAGCACGTACATGTTCTCATTGTACCGAATTGGATAGCCCCTGTAATTCAAATTGTAATAAAAAATCAAACAGAAAGAGGAGAGATGAGACAAAAGAGTAAATAAGTGATGCTGAAAATAAAGAATTGAAGAACTTAAAAATTTTATCAACGAGTTTCGTTTTAACCCCCAAAAATAGCGTGGAAAAAAACAATCATTCACTGAAATTCTATAAAAATTATTAATGACCTTGAATATTCCCGAGAAAATTTCATGTCATTTTCAGGTCATGATGAAAAATTCTAATCTGCTGTGTCCTTGGTATAGCAGTGAGATATAATGTGGACGTCTCCGTGACGGGTCTTCAAATAAATTTTATTCAGCGAAATTGAAGTTCTGAGTTATTCAGCAAAATAGAGATTCGTTTGTTGTTCAATGGCATTATTTCCCAAGCCTTTTCTATTCTCCTCTGCTCTGTGGCTTTCTTCTGCTGTCATCTGATCTGTTCTGCTCTATTCCTTTTCTTTCCTCTGTGCAGCTTCTGTAAATCCGATCATGAATTAATTTGTAGAAATAAGGGAGCAAGAGAGTTTGAGTCGAGCAATACAAGTTGAAAATGATTTGAACGTGTGTCCACATTGGTGCGCGCGCGCTCCCGGCGAATCAGTCCAAACCCAGTGTTCCGCAGTGTTCCCTCGCCCAAACATAAGCCTGTCCATACTCCTCTCCCCGAAACCCCGCCGGTTCATCATTCCGTCAAACCTCCAAATCTCCCCACCTCAAACCCCTGAAAATCCTGAAAATCGACGCAGTTCTCTCCAAGAATTTCCAAGTGGTGCGTGCGTCCGTGCCATTCCCCAGGTCCATACGTTCCGTTCGTCCACCATATCCACCTCCGATTCCCGATCCTTCTGTTTCACCCATACGCATACAAACTGACAAGAGAACAATCTCCCCCTCAGTTTCCCTGAGTTCCCCCGAGCGAGTTCCCCTCTACCGAAGCATCTCGCGATTCAACGTTTTGGCCGATTCAAACGCTCGTGTAATCATTCGTCTGTGTGAGAGGGGACTGCAAGGAGTCACACACAGTCGGCTAAACTTCATTTTTTCTCTCCCTACCTCCCTCCCCACCGAATAAATATCAAAAAGTGGTTTTTTTTTTTTATTCAACTCTTAACCCCCGAACGTCGTGTGGTGGGCGACCTGTCAGCGTTAGACTCAACAGTCACAGTGCAGAAGTGGTTGAGTGTACAGCGTTGAAAAATTCAAACAGTATTAATAATTGAAGGAAAACGAAAAGGAGGAGAAAAAAAAAACGGAGCAGCTCCGGCAGCTCCGTGTCCACTGGGACCCTGAAAACAATTTTAAAAAATTTGTGGGGGGGGGGAGGCGGTAAAATCCACCTTAACCCAGAGTTATCTCACGCGCCGGGAACGACTCATAAACTGTGAGGTGTTTTATTCTGTTGTTGTGATAAACCGTAAAGATTCAAGTGCTACTAGTGATACTCGCCCGGTCATCTCGTTTAATTATTGTCGTTTTATTGTTTAATATCCTGGGTTTCACAATTATTCTTGACTTAAAAGAGTCTATCGTGGAGAGGATGGCGTTCAACGGCGACGGACCGCACTCCAAGAGGCAGCGACTTGAGGAAGCTGGACACCGAGTGAGTAATTATCTATTTCATCTCCATTATTTATTGATTTGTCATACTGTGAGTAATACGGTTGAGAGATGTTTGTGACAAGAATGTGCCCCTGCTAATGCCAACCCCGTGGGTTATTAATGCCTTCTTGTCATAGCTGTGTACTCCCCTCATTCATTAATTCCCACTTCCGACATTTTTTTCTATCATCATCAATCATCCATCGTTATCGCGTTGTCCGTTATAATTGAGTGATGGCATTAACGAACCGTTTATTTATTCGGTTAAAATAGTGAATATGTTGATACGAATTCATCGGTATAACGGGTATAACCAACATTCGGCGGGTTTTATCGCGCGTCGCCATTTCTTTGGCGCCCCCTTTGGTTAGTTAATGCCCATGGGGGACTGGGGTGAAACTCCGGTGCATCCTGAGAGGACTGATAACAAAATCGCGTTTTTACGTTTTTTTTTTAACGATAATTGAATAAAAAGTTTGAATGACGGAGAGGAGTTTTAAATTGGTGAATAACGTTGGTAACGCATGGTTTTCACGTCAAGTCCAGTGCTCTACTCTGATTAACTTGATTTGTGGGTAAATTGTCGCCAGACTGTCTGTAAAGCTCAACGGGACTCTCACCCGCTTCCCGTCGACGACCTCTCGCCGTCTTCTATTCGCACTCATCCCTGATTAAGTACAACGAGGCACTCTTCGGTTTTGAACGGGCCACACCGGCCATCCAACTTCCTCCACCCTTTGGAATTCCCAGGGGCAGTCCTATAAATATATCATCATGTAAAGGGAAAACAAAAAATTATCGACAACCTGTTATCCCTGCGTGGCAGCCCCACCGCTGCCCCACCGTTGCTCTCGTCATGGAGGTATATTGATTATTTCGCGAACCCCGACGTAAATTACTTCCACATCTTCCAACCATCGGGGCAGAACCGAAGTATTCTTGTATTTACTAGGATTTTCTCGTGCCAGAACACCGTTTCTCCTTTTTTATTCATGTTTATTTACCAATTTCTTTTTTTTAGTTAATTTTCCACCCCGTTTTTACCTGAACGTCAGTCTGAAAATTTGAAAAATGGGGAAATGCTAGAGGTAGATTCTCTATTGATAAGTCAATATTGAGGGGGTGTTCTATTTGGGTGTTCTGGGTATAGAAACGCTTTTAGCCATTTTAAATTTTTTTTTTGGGAATTTATGAAGGGATTTAAGAGTGGGCGCGGTAAAGTGAAGACTTTTTCATTTGAATTTGGGAGTGGTAATCAACACTGGTTATCGCCATTGCAGTCTTTTTTTACCCACGCATTGTTCCACTTCAATGCAAAAAATAATTCACTCAGATCCGAACAATGAATCGTTTGAAGTACAAATTGCCGGAATGTGAAATGCATTGCAGATAAATTTAGATATTTATAAATAATCTAATTGGCCGTAGGATGATACAATGCATGCGCGGTATGTATAAACGATGAGATTTCTATTTTAAATTTTGGTTCAAGTACCAAGTGGAATTAATCTACTCTTAATTTGCTCGTTAATCTTGAATGAAAATTTTCCCGAAAATTGTATGAAACCCGAGTATCACTTGAACATATTTCGTTTGTTCTGGTATTGGCTGGTGGGTTTTCCACTGAATTTTTTCCCTGAGTTTTTACTCTGGTAGGGATGGATCGATTCCGTAGCGGCCTTGCACCCATACCCTTGAATTACCTTGAACAAATGACGGGATAAACGCCATTCATAATTAGGAAAAGATGAGAAATAAATGAGGAGTGATGAGTGGATGGGATGGGAATTTTTCTCAGAAAATTTTCATCATCTGCTTCATGAGTTCCAAGCCATCGAGTCAGTTGACAAGACTCACCTAAATGACCCAAAGTGGATCCATCACCTTATGGGCTATCAATAGCCCAAGCTCATTCCTTATATCCATTATCTTGTCGTTTCGCTTTCATTACTCTCGTTTTACCCCTCCACTTGAGAGTAAAAATAATCAACTCCCGTGAGCAATTTTCCTTCCTCTGAAATTCATTTTCTCAAATTTTTATCATTTCCGGGTGATCCTACGAAATCCTATGAATCCAATTGAGTCAGAAATTCCGGAGATTGCAATGACAAAATTTGAGATGTGTCAGCCACTCAGGCCCACCCGAAAATATATCGTTTAACTTATCCATGGAGTGAAGCACATGCGCCGTAGAAATACCTCGGTCTATTTGGCAGAAGGATAGAAAATACAGGTTGTAGAAATTAAACGTATAGCGCACGCGCATCATTGCACTTCCTCAATTAATCTACCCTTCCGCTTCCTTATACTCGTATATTCTTATTGTTGATTGTAATCGTTTGTCTCGAGGACACTGACACTGACTAAAACGTTTACACTTAAAACAGTCAAATCCAAATATTTTATTTAACTATTTTATCATTAAATAATGAACCCCTGATCATCCAATAATTTTTCCGTTTTTTCAAAAATTTTCAAAAATTCATGAAACTTCAAATAAATGGTAATTTTAGGCAGAATATCTTGAAATGAGATTGAGAAGAAATTGTTCCTCATCGTTGCGATTTTCGGAGCGATAAAACGCAGAAAGTGAAACAATATATATGTATAAAGGGAAAATACGGAGACAGAAATGAGATTGTTTGCGAAGATTTGTAGATATCTGTAGTCAACAAAATAACATAAAAAAAAACTAGTGAAATCGCGGAGTTCAGTTGCCTCCGCATCTGCATATATTTTCCATTTTTATTTCTCCCTCTGCGCCGAAGCTATTAACATTTATGAAGGCACACGAAACGAGAGAGCTTTCAGATAAAACCTCGAGAACATTATTGTTCTCCATCGCAGTTTGGACTTTGCTACTTGATAGGCTACATGAAGCCAATGGTATCGCTCCACAACACTGCAGTATTATACTTAAAACAATACGTGTCAGATGTATTTTGCGGTTGTGAGAGATATCTGATTGCAAGATGTCATTGTACGCCAAAAATTATTTGGATTTATCAGTATGAATCTTATCATATGTGCCGATTGGAGAATGATGAATATAGAAGGAGACTGGCATAGAAATTGAATAAAGTGGGAATTTAGCGAGTGACGATAGGTCACGTCATGGTTAAGTTCAGCCGATTTAACAGCAGGTATACATATCTATATAGGCATTCCGGTGGGAGAAGGTATATCGCTAGTTTAAGCTCAATGGAAATGTGTACTTTGGGGGCTTTGGAGTCTCGTATTTTTAACAAATAAAAGACACGAGTTGTGAACAAACTTGGCCGTTGACTAGCGAATGCTTTTTCGTTTATCGTGTCGGGGCAATAAAACGTAAACATTGTTTTCGTTGCTAATCTCTTTATTGGCGCGTGCTTGGCAACACGCCAGTTGCCAGTAGTGGCAACGGCTAGACAACCCTTTTTGCTTTCATCATCCCCCGACCCCCGACCGTCTTTTCAAACCACCCACCACCACCTTACCCATCAACTACCTTTGACTTTCCTGTTGCTTCCTCACCACTTTCACCATTTCCTTGCCTGTTATTCCACCTTCTTCATTGCCTTGCTTCAATATTTTTTCCATTATTCTCTCTCGTATTGTTGAATTGTTATTCTTATGGAAACTTTTTGTTGGAAAAGTTTCTTCGCGGGTTTTGTTTGGTATTGTTTATTTAGGTTGAGGATGGTTTACTCGGGACACCAAGTTTTGTTCCATCTCCTAACTCTTCCTCATTCCTATGCAATCGTAAATTCAGACCGTGACATTTCTTTATGATCCGTGCAATTCCATTGTTTCAACGAATTTTATTTTGTGTGGATTACAGAATCATGAGTACAGTGGGTATGGAGAAGAGACCAGGCGCAAGAGGTATGTAATGTATACTCAAATTTTCTTCTCATTAATTCAATTGTCATGTTGCAAAATGCAGTTAGTCGAATTCGGGATTTTTCAAGTTGAGATTTGGGCGGCAGTCGCCGCACTTTAAATATTTCAGAATTTAAGACGAAATTCTCATTTTCAAAGAACTCCAATTAACTTTTATTCTTAATGATCATTCTTCAAAAATGATAAACATATTGGTCCGTTATATTTGTTTATAAATATACATTTCATCACCTTTTTTTATTGCAGAGAAGACAATAACAAGCCAAATCACGTACTCTTGTTCACGATAATAAATCCAGTCTACCCCATCACAGTTGTAAGTATGAATGAGGAAATATCTGCTAATATAAATCGTGATACGACAATTTGGAGTGCGTGTTATGACAAGCATCTGTCCGAAAGTGCTTCATATATCAAATTTCACTCTCAATCCCGGCACATTTAAATTTTGAGTAATTAAATTCCTCACGCGTTATAATTTTCATGGTGTTTAAATGCCGTAAATACCGCATTGACATTAAAGCGTGACATAGTTTATTGCTAAGACAAAAGGAGACGTCGTCACTGGGAGATTGAGAACGAGTTGAGCGAGGTCAAGCGACGCGCCAGGAATGAGATAGAGCAAATCGAGAATGTTCAATCGCTCGAAATAGATTAAACGCTTTTTTTCCCATTTATTTTTTTTTTCTTTCGTTGAGTTACATCCCAGATAGCTATACGGTGCTCATATAAAATATAAATGCAGGAGAGAAATGCGGGGTAACAATACTGAATTATGCATTCATGTATGCTAATTGTCATTTCACTTTGCAGGAAGTGCTGCATGCAATCAGTGCACCGTGTGGCCAGGTACAGCGCATTGTAATATTCAAGAAGAATGGGGTGCAAGCCATGGTTGAATATCCTTTTTATATTCAATAAATGATCCATAATTTATGATCATTCTAGCGAGGGCGATCAATCAAACTGATATTTCGTTTTTGAATGAGGAGCAAAATGGATACTTGAAAACTTTTTTTATTTGTCCAAGAATCATCCATCCTCTCCTCGTTGGAGCTTTTCTCTTTCAACTCAATCTGATGACTTGTTTTTGGTGCTCCATTGCCCAGGGATGAATGTACAAATTAATATTTATGATCCTTAACTATAGAATTTTTGTGCAATTACGTTTGACTCGGTTGAGTCAGCGACACGGGCCAAAGAGACACTCCACGGTGCTGACATATATTCTGGCTGTTGTACATTAAAAATTGACTTTGCCAAGGTAAGCATCAACCTTTATCATCCCCCCAGCCCCTCCCAAAAATTCAACCGTGAATAATGTCATTAATCCGTTATCCCACGGTATTAAACATTTTGAAATAGTGGAAATAGAAATAGAGATAGAGACACGCAGGTCGAGAATTATCGATCGAGTGTGCAGTAGAAGAGGTAAAACTGGTGCTCGCTCGTCTTTCAGCGTACGCCAGCCGTTTGAATTAATACTCCACGTTTAATGCTCTTTCTCGGCTTGGCATCTAACGCAACGGGCGATTTAGTGGTTTTGGCGAGGCCAAAACCTCATACCCGAGTGCCACTGCCAAAAATAGGTTTTGGATGATTCCATCGCCACTTGAGGGATTTTCTTTACTGAGATTCAAGCGGATGAATGCGCTACTGAGAGGTTGAGTGGGGGAGAATGCACAGTTGTTACCTCTCTTTAGGTTTCACATACCATTTGATAAGATTAAAATGTCTGTCATAATTTTCAACGTTCAACATGACTAATAACAACATTCATGATGTATTACGGTTATTAGCTGAGTCATAAATGATCTAATAGTGGAATGAAATAGTACTCATTGTGGTTGGTGAGTTATTGTGGCAAGGTAGTTCATATTTTCAGACATATGTCGAACATACGGCAATATATGAGCTTTCTCGAGGTATACAATGCCATGGTGTGGGAAGAATTGTACTAGAGAGTTACATTTGAATTTTTAGAGAAATCTTCATTGATAAATTTGATAATTGCTTGAATATGTGCTTATGTATGAAAACAGTGACTACAGTAGCTGTAGTTGTGGAACAAATATAGATCTAGTCACAAGTATTTCGGAGATGACGATGATGTGACAGGGTGACTTCCAGACCTCCTACTGCTTTTATTTGGTGGACTGAAAATGCCTTGTGGATGATTTTAGAGTGATGTTCGCGGGGGGCTGAATTTCTGAACTCCAAATATCCCTCAATCTATTCAACACCAAATCTCCATTCCACATATTTCGCAAACCACATGAACGTCACATGACAATTTGTCCGTCACTCGGTTCTCTCTGCTTCTCACTTTATATCACACATCAAATGGATGTACAGTATTTTAACGTTGAGTGCAATTCTCTATCTCTATTTTACTATTTTCCCAGCGTCGACTATTTTATGAATATTTGGAGGTGACGTTTATGGTACCCGTTGAATTCATATCGCCATCAAATTTAATTTATTGTATGTATATGTATTTTGGATGGATTATGATCATTTGGTTTGTTACAGCCGACCAAGTTGAATGTTTACAAGAATGATGCAGAGAGTTGGGACTACACAGCACCAGGATTGGGTGAGTTCCGTGATTTGTTATTCATTTTCTTTATTGTACAGATTTATCATTGAGGATGTCAAGGATCGTACGTAAGTCGATTGCCTCATCTTGTTGGGGGATCTGTGTGTCAGACTTGTGTTGTCTCGAATTTTCGCCAACCCGGAAATTCACAGGAAAATACTGAGAGCCCACCCTTTTCAAATAATTTCTATCATTTCGTTTATTAATACTCTTCTTTCACTTCCACATAAATTCTAGCGCCAAAAGAAAATGCACCGAATCAATTTCGATAGTTGTCACGAATTTATTTTGGTGCTGTGTAATTTTAGGGAGAATCAGGGCTAAAAAAAGTATTTGTTGGCATTTTCACGCGGAATCACTCGTCGTCAAGATAATTTAATATTTAACGAGATGGGGCAGGCATGTTACAACATTTTATCGCTTCACTGCTACATTCGGTAAGAATAATTGCCCATTAAAGTTGTCATGGATTATTTCATATATACGAGAACCAAAATCCTATTTTTTTTTTTATTGGTAAAAGACGATATATGAGGCATTTCTGTCACAACTCCAATTCACTAATCCAAATTGACTACCGGGGAAATAAATAAAGATGTGATAGACGGGTGATTCTTCAGGGAATTACCGGCCACGGAGGAAAAAAAAGCTCTCTCGTCCTATTTTTTTTTTTTGCGGTCAACGAAAAAAAAATATTCACATAGTTCTAGTGATTCTCCAGGGAATGGATTTTCCACTTATAGACTTATTGCCGCAAAAGCTCGTTAGTGGAGTGCTTTGTTTATTTAAATGAACTATGGTTATTTGACCTGATGAAGTGGTAAGATGGAGGGAAGAGGTGAAGTAATTCGACTCATTTTCATTACCGGTTATTGCGAGATATCGTGGAATACAATAAAGGCTGTGAAATTACTCTAGGGACATTTTTGCGGAGGGGAATCAGAGCCGTGAAAACGCTCGACACAGAAATTCCAATTCTTGTATTCAGCGATTTTTCCCGATATCTCAACCAAGAGACCGAGAAATAAAGTTTTTATCAGTGAGATTTAATTTTCCGGTGCATGATCCTATGAAAATTATTGAAAATATCACAGCAAATATAGACGTAGATTGTGATATTGAAAACTCCAGTACAATAAAAAATATATCAGACACAAAAGTACAAACTCAAATTACAGGGAGTCTTGTCAAAGTTCAGTCAAAAATTTTCCACAATTTATTTTCAATTATTTGTTATCTTTTGAGGGAGTTTTCTAAGGTGAGTATGCACATTCACACAGCAGGTGTCAATTAATTTATCAGAGGTAATTTTTATTTCTCAGTTCACATATTTTCAACGAAAGTCCGACGAGTATAGAAAAAAAGCGAATAAGAGAAAATTTCCATGACATCCTCAAATATTTCTACTCAATGATTAATATATTTCCCGAGCGCTCAATAACCCCCGATAAGTTCGTTTTGCATCCAAAGAGTAATGTTCGCTATTCTGGTATCGCTTTTAGCTTGCCATTCTCCCTCTTTTCTTCTCATCTATTTTCAACCCCCGGGCCGAGAACTATTCCCTCGATGTCATCCCAAAATCCCAAGCCTTCCCAAACTTTTTTATCATGACACAGAGCTCATACCTCAGTACACAATCTCCGATAAAAATCTCTTTGATACCTACAAAAGATTTCTCCACGAAATAAGAATGAGTCACGATCGACACGACAATGTAAATACTAAGTGAATTGAAATATAAGAGTAATTGTGGATTTTCACAGCAATAACCATTTTATAAAATCATTCACATTACCCCTTGATTCATGGAAATCACTGGCAAAATCACTTGGCGACGGCTCATTCCAAGAGTTCACCCACAATACTCTTTCCCCTCCTCCAACCGTGCAACATTTTCATTCAAATAAATGTTATATTTAATATGTTAGTCATCTCAATGTCGCATGAATTAATGTGTAGATGATATATTTGATATAAAATTTATCGGAACTTTAACGTTGCTAAATGCATTTAGCTTTCAGACTCAGTAATAATATCAGCACATTAGAGTATATATGTACTACATACTGGCCAAATGATAATACACATATAGGTAATGGTGATGCACTGTTTAAATAAAAAATCTATCAACGACATTCACGAGACACGATTATTCTACATAAACCAAGAGGATGACACACAACACATCGCCAGCTGGTCTCCTTAAACCCAGGAAGAAATCCCAGTCTCAACACATTTTTTTCAAAACCGAATGACACGTGTTAAAGAGAAAACATTAGGATACAAGACTCTCGGGGTAGCATCAGACACACGCGTCTCAGATTCTCTATTTTTTTTTATCTCTCTCCTCCACGAGAGAGAGAGAGAGAGAGAGAGAGAGTCTTCATTCCCTTCACACCCCTGTCAATGACTTTGTAGTTGATTTAGTGAGACATGCTTTCAAGGATTGTCTTTAGCCGCACGATGAGGAGTCAACCGAGGCGGGAAAAAAAACGCCGCCCGTTGAATAATAACATTTTTTTTTTAATCGAGTAAAAAAATATATATGTTCATTACCGGAGGATAGATAAAAGAGAAATGAGTGAGGAGTCATGGAGCTGAAAAAAAAAAAGAATGATGAAAGATGAAAGAAGAGGAAGTCATAAAAAAATATGTCTCGCAGAAAAACAAAAGGACTTCACAAAATATAATGGGAACGTGAAAAATGTTAATTTGACTTTATGGGGCGCCACATTATTCACAAGAATTATTATCACATGCTACACATAAAACGCTACGAGAGTAGATCTGCCGGACCCTCCATTCACCAGCATCGACTGTCAAACAATAGGCTAAATAATAAATCAGTATTTGCCGCACATTAGTGATTATCACCAACCAATAAAAAAAAACAACCAAATGAATAATTCTAGTCTAGTCTTTCTCGTGGGAGAAAATAATCCTTCATCACTATACACACGCAAAAATAATGAGAATATCGAGAGACGTAGAGATGTAGAGACAACAACAACATCAACAACAGTAAAGAGGATTGTATCCGTTATAACAATTTCCCGACAAATAAATATACTGTTGTCCATTGTTAAAGGCTACCAATAATGCACTCACAGACAAACATTCGATCAATCAACCTATCGACCACTGCTATCGCCCCGTCATTAATATGACTTTAACCTATTTAACAAAAGAAGTAAAAGTTTTTATATTATCTGGATTAAAATCTTTCAAAGAGTTTTGCAAAATCTATTAATTCAATTGAATTCATTAACATCCCGTTCATTCACACGTTTTTCAATAAAAGAAATAAGAGACACAAAATGATAGTTCGTTGGAAGATATCTCAAATTCAATCAGAGAATTCTCACTTTAATTCAGTGAGACGTGGCAAGTGAATTTATTCAATCTCATTGATTATACTGAGAGAAATTAATATTGAAATTTATTTCTGATTATTAGTTCTGATTATTTTGTGTTAGGTTCTGGCCTTACGAGATCTCCACCAAAACTTATCAAGATAAAAATGCAACAATTTCAATAGGAGTTTCTGCTATTGCATTTTTCTCAAGAGTTTTGATTGGAAATGATATAATAAGAGCCCAGCGCTGCACAATTACGGAATTGAGAAATAATGGTCAATATTTTCTCGGCGCAATGATTAATGATTAATGACGAATATAAAAATGAACTTGCTACGTTGGTTGTGCCATGATGATGAATTAATTGATGAGTAAAAATAAAATAGCCAGATTGGCAAAGAAACGATGGATTGAATACTTGCACGGAATGCAGGGATGATTCGAATGAGGGAAGGATTGCAGGAAGGCAGTGATGTTATGTTGGAATGTTTGTCTGTGTGCAGATGCGGCCATCACATTGTTGACTTGAGGCGATGATGGATTGACATGTGGGACAAGTCAGGGCCGGTGAGTGAGGCTTAGGCAGGTCTACGACTAATGCTGCTCTCCTTACCCCTGTACTCCTGCGTTATCTCCAATCTTGGACAGATGCTACAGACCTTAAGGGAGAGACTAATTTGTTCATTATTGTCCAACAGCCATGACGTAAGTAAATGCGCTTGCTTTTTGCCGAGAGAGAGAAGGAGAAAAGAGGAATGTTTTTTTAAGAAAAAGTTTTCAGGGCGAGATTCAGGAGAAAAAGGAAAAGGAACAAGTCAGTAGTCAGTAACTAGATAATGTTAAGGTTGAAAAAAAAGAGGAGCCCATATAAATGGGCGTGCTTTGAACAAATAGTGTTTTATCACGAAGGAGCAGAGGAGGTGGTGGAGTGAGATGGAGTGAAACGACGGCGTTTAGAATTCAAGTGCACTGAATAGGAGTGCGCATCGATCCGGTGGGCTCTAGGTGCGGTTGTTACATTTGCTTTCTCAGTGGTAGTGGATATGCATCCAGGATGTGGCTATGGATATTCCCTTGGGAGTTGTATTAAAAATCATGATGATGGAGAAATGAAAGAGGAAGACTTTGAAAATTATGAAAAATTCATGGTAATCTTCTCAACTAAATGGTATATTGTGTGTGTTCCAGGTTCAAGTGGGCACAAAAATGAGTCGAGTGGCAATGGTAGACCGGCGCCGCTTCTTGCTGAACCGAGATATGGTGCAGCTCCACAGCCATATGGTAATCCTCTTCCGGATTTTACATAATTTATCCACCTAAAATAGAACTGTATTACATTAACTCGGTGAACATTATCCCGTCAACCCTTTGCAACAATTTGACTTTTTCACCTTGTCAAATAGCTAATTTATCATATAGATATATTTTTTTTTATTGTGTTGGTAGGTTCAACACCGCAAGTGGCATTTCCACCGGGTGCTGGACACGATCGTTACGAGGAGAGTTTTAACGGTCCAACGACGTATGCTGAACCGTACGTCGAGAGGTATGGAATCAAGAGTGATTTTGCTGGTCGTGAACCACTCCATCCTACACCAGCTAGGCCTGGTTATGTACCAAGTCTTGGACAGACTCCACCCACCAGTGCACAGGGCTCTGTTATGATGGTCTATGGGCTGCAGCCTGATAAAGTCAATACCGATAAACTATTTAATCTTTTCTGCCTGTATGGTAATGTGACCAAGGTGAAATTCCTTAAGACCAAGGAGGGCTGTGCTATGATACAGATGGGGGACAGTATAGCTGTTGAGAGGTGTTTGCAGAACTTAAATAACGTCACCATTGGCACTGAGGGAAAGCTACAGTTGGGCTTCTCTAAGCAGGCGTTCCTCGCTGACGTCACAAATCCCTACATTCTGCCTGATAAGACAGCGAGTTTTAAAGACTTTACTGGAAGCAAAAATAATAGGTAAGTGAATTTTATATTCGGGTAAAGCATGAATTAACAGGGTCGAGGGGATGATTGAGGATGTGAATTACTCATTCTCCACATTCTCCGCAAAAAAAATAGTCCTCTCTTTGAGGGAAATCCATGATTTTTTTATAATTTCCTCCAAGACTCGCAATTCAATTGTCAAATTGAATAACTAAAATTCTCAAAGTCTTGAGTGGACTCTGTAGAGAGGTGGAAAATAAAGTTGAACATAGCTCAACTTGCCAACTCAATTGGTGTGTGAAAAGAAAGAAACTCAATTATTTGTTTCATGGGTTGACAAAGGTTTCTAAATCCAGCAATGGCCAACAAGAATAGGATACAACCCCCTTCGAAGATTGTCCACTTTTTTAATACACCACCTGATCTAACTGAGGACACAGTAAATCGTGTGTTCGTCGAACGTGGTATTGAGGCTCCAACGACAGTGAAACTCTTTCCCCTAAAATCGGAAAGATCGTCTTCAGGTTTGATTGAGTTCAGCAGTGTTGGAATAGCAGTTGCCGCGATAATGGAGTGCAACCACACAGCCCTTGAGAACAGCAATGGAAAATTTCCATATATAATGAAACTGTGTTTCTCCTCATCGCGCACAATACCCACTAATTTTCCACCAGGTGGTGCCGGTCAAAATTCATCCAACAACTCGGCTGGCAATGGTCATGTTTCGAAAATGCAACAAGATGGTGAATAGAACGTCGAGGTAATCCAGGGCCAAAAAATCTATTACAAAAATCAACGTCAGCGTAAACAGCACTACAATATCCATCAATTGTGTATGAATACGGTAACACAGGCGGCATTAAATGATACGGGTGTACATTCAACGACAGCTGGTGCAACTGCCATTGCCATATCGCCAGTGATGCAAGCACAGCTACCACCTTCCTGTCATCTTCTTATCACAACACCGAGTTTGTATCCACCGCCGCCACCTCCACCGCCACCACCACCACCACTTGCTGTACCACAGGCATTACCACGTGCACAACTTCCATTATCCTCACAATCGCTGACCACATTCTGGCCCTATGGATGAATAAAACAACTGAAACAACAGCAACAACAACAACTCAAAGCGTAACATACCTAAACTCACTGAAACAGAGAAAAACAGAGTGACCTTTCTATTCCATATATCTTTTTTCGTCTTTCCTCTCTGCTATTTATTTTTCATCTTTTTGGGAGAGATAGAGAGAGTGAAAAGAGTGAAATAATCAGAGGGTTGGACCACAATCAATGTAGAAAGAACCGCCCAGTGGGTCGAGTCCCCGTTCATATCTTAAGTCTTTTTTTTTCGGGCTCCGTGGCTACCGACTCCCGTAGAAATACATATCAATGCTAATCACTTTCACGATATATCTCCAGTCAATCTGGAACAACGAATGTTTCCTCTTTTTTTAAACCTCTATTCCTGGGAAACTTGGTGAAATGAATATTTTAATATTTATTTTGCGTCTGTACCACGTGACCCGAATATACAACTGCCGAGTACTTTTGCCGTTTCATCGGTTGAATTTTTTCTATGGAAATGCAGAAATCGGGGGAATTATTTTACTGGAAATATTTCAAGGTGAAATTGGTTGATTAAAACTGCGAAAATAAAACATGGGTTTTTCGATTCAACTCTAGTCCCGCGGATAATATTTTTTTTGTGATGACTTTTTTCACTTTTATTATCGCTTTTTTTTTTCTTTATCAATTATCTTATGGCCATGCATCTATATTGAGCGATACAATCCGACAACGTATCGAATTAGAAACTCAATAAATTGATGATTACTTTATTAATCGACACAGAAAAAATTGTGTCTCAAATTAATCAGCCAGATGATAATAAAGCTCGTCACAAAATTGGTGTTTATCCACTAGAACGAAAAAAAAAATGACAAAATTTCGACTGCTAATTAATTAAGAACAATAAATTATTTAACTGGGTGCTCGCTCCAGGAGCAGCTGCAGTGTTCAAGCAAAAAAAAAAAATATACACTATGAAACGAGTACTCGATTTATCGGATATGCGGAGCAGTGAATTGAATTTTATATTGAGAACCAAAAAACACAACAAATTGACTAAAAACACGCAATGACCTTGACGATACAATATATTAGTATCCCTTGGCAATATTTTGTCGGGTCAAGGGATGTTTTTATAAAATGAAAATAAATATTTAAAAAATGAGAGAGAGAGAGAGAGAGAGAGAAAGTGAGGGATTAACATTTTACATCTCTGAATAATTTTCGAATAGCGTAAATCAAGTTGATAAAACTTACATGACACACTTTACTCATACTGATTGAAGGAAAAAATGAGAATTATGAGAACAAACATTAGACTTGACACTCGGCCATATGTAAACGTAAGATAATAAAAGTGTGAGGGTCATTTTGCGCCGACATTTGTGGACGACAAATGTAGGACCCAATTTATTGTCCACTGGTTGTATGTTCAATTGATTTGATTGTGAATGAGGACAACTGAGAGGACGAGTGATTGAATAGATTAAGAGAAAAGTGTTTATATTTGAGGCAATATTTGTAACGATACAACTAGGTAATAAGTTGTATTATAAACGAGAGTGATTGCATTGCATTAAGAACTATTAGGAAATACAATAGTCACTGTCTTTGACAGGATTAATTTGAAAAGATCGATATTTGAACAAAAGGAAACATCGAGTGCATGCAATGCGGCCTGCGTCTTATCCCTGGATTGTACATAAGCAGTTTCAACGATTAATTCATCAGATTATTATTAAATGGAATTGTTCTGGGAAAGTGCTTAGGTAGCCTAAAAATGTAATTGTGTTGAGGGGAATTAATTGCTGGTTTATTCGAGAAATTCATCGTTTCGTTGGACTTAACCGCACTCCAAATGTCTGGTCCCACAGGTTTGACCAGATTTGTGTTCTTTTCATTGTTCCAATGGAATAATTCAGGGGTGCAGATTCAACAGAATGAATTTATTTTGCTTGATTTTTTGGGAGAGTATCTGGAATAAATATTGAGCAGAGGAAAATATTTTTAGACAACTCACCGTGAATTTGAAAATTCAGTCATGATACAGTGGAATTTTCATTGGGACAATTAATACCATTTTTATTTTATCCCTCGGATTGGAAGTCGAGTTGGGAGAAGTTAATTTGATTGGTTCTATAGTCTTACCTGAGAAAAAGTTTGCAGTCGACATCTTAAAATGTAAGGATGAGGGGGAGAATTTCTATCAAGACTTTTGTTCATTATTATTTTTTTTCTTTATCAACTTGCCCTAATCTTTTTCATGTTCAGAGAGATCTGCAAAGAACTGACGATGAAATTTAAATTGATCATGTCTCATAACTTCTCTTTATGATGAGTTTTTGATGCATATCTTGAAATCTCTTTTAAATTCAGAGATATTCATCAGTGAGGAACTTGTATTGAAGTTGATTCATCCTGTTTAACCACTCCACAACTGAATCCACGTAATTTTCATCCTTCCACTGAGTTCGTGTGCGCTGAATGAAATACGACGAGAAATATTCCGAGGGTCCTTTTATCATTCGCTATTTTCTCCATGAGTAGTCACATAAATCCTAGAGTAGCGAGTGAAAATAAGAACGAAATAAGAACGAACAAATCATATTTGACGTCGACGTAGAGAATAAACGTTTAACGAGAGGAGAAAAATTAATATCATGTAAATTAAACGAAGAAAATATCATATCGTGTAATTGTAGGTAAAATTCATGTGTTTAGGAGTTTTGGGAATTCAATCAAGAGAGTATCGTCACAACCGTTTGAATAATGTCCGTGAATAATCTATCTATATTAATTCGTAGATATCCGTTTTAATGTCATTTCGGACAGTCTCTGCTCATGGTTTGCTTTCCATTATTTTTTAATCTATTAATTTTTAACTTGAATCGTTAAATTTTCAATAATTATTTATATCGTTATCAAAAATCCCCTTTTTCCCATATTGACAAGTTTCGAGTCATATCTTAATATAGAAATAACATTATTTGGATACGGCTGTGAGAAATATACTTTTGGCAAGAGTATTTCCAAGTAAAAGATGAAAAAAAAAATGAATAATCATTCGACTAACAACTCGCTCGACAATATTTATATCTATCAATTTTTATCACTGATCAATTTATCAATCGACAAATATTTTGTAACAATTTATGAAATAATCCAATAGACCGAAAGTCTTTTTAATCAATTTATCACCTGGCATCATATCGATGAAAAATTTTGCACTTTAAAATGAAACAAATCCGCCAGGCTCACGAGACAAAGTGTAAATTGTGTCAAAAACGTGGTCATAAATCTATTTTTTTTTTTTCCTCCAACCGAAATTTTCAATTTGCGTGTACTGAAATCCGGCTTGAAACCCCCTTGATTTACGAGTGGGTATCTTCATTCGCCAGGTAGAAAAGCAGTATAGGATAAATAAAAAAGCCGAATCAACCGAAAAATACTGAAAAAAGAGAAATAATAACGATGCCCTCGTGATTAAAATCACTCTCCAATATATACGCTAGAGCCCGCTTTTTATTATGCGCATCGATATACTCAATTACTAAAAATACATGATGAAAGAAAAAAATAAATACTGAAAGAACAAAAAAAAGTAATAAGTACATTAAAGTTAATGAAACTTGCACGCCAGACTGTCGCTTATTTTCTGATAAACATTACTTGTACATTCAGTGCGGTTAATTAAGAGAAAATAATTAGGAAATATAAAAATGTAGTGCGTATTACAACGAACCGTTGAGCTCGTGTTGCTGTTTGGTTTCCAATGAGCACGAAAAATTTGAGAATAAAATTCTGATCGAAATTCCGTCGCAATTCGAGTTTTTCATGAATTTTTTTTCATGGACAAATACAAAATTCAATGGTCAACTCTCAATTTTTTTCATTCCCAGCAAACAGTGACATCTGATTGGCTACATCTCCTCGATATTCCCGAATATTTCAGACTGAAAAATTTATAATTATTTGATTTACTTCCCAACGAAAAGAATTCATCCAAAAACTCAATTACGTCACCAACGACTCCAATTAAAAATCCCATAGCGGTGTGGATGATGACGAGGAAATAATGAAAAATTACACTATTGAATTTGCATTTGCTCTAAATAAATAAGTAAAACAAGTGATCTCCGAGTAGAAGGGGATATACCGTGATGAGAGCGTGTAAATTCAAGAAAATAAAAAATGGAATAATGTAAACATGTAAAGACTATGCCATTCACCGGCAGAAGAATGCAATCAATTGTTAAAGACCTGCGCCAAGGCTTAATCACAGCCATTAACTGTCTCATTCGTACTCATTACATTTATTTTATTTCATTATCCATTGAATTCTGTGTTGTCACGGAATTTATGTCTCACATTAACTAAAAAGTATATAGCGCCAGTTACTTCCAGTATTAATGACCTCCTCCCCCGGTGAATGGAATAAAAGCTATGTACAAAATCAAATTTTAATTGTATTAGGTACGATTCCACTGTGGTATCGCAAAAAATTATATATACATATTCTAATATATATATATTGATATATATATATATATATTAGACGTATATCATACTGATTATCCTAAGACATGATTTTTCTCGACTTAATTAAGGTACATGCCCACGTACTGCGAATTAGGGTTGTAAAGAGAAAACAGAGAAAAGTAAAAAAAAAATGTCAATAATTGCGTTATGTAAACGAATGGACGCGATGAAATTTTTTTGCTGAAATTATAATTGATACATATCCCCTGTATGTATATATCTGCAACAGAAATTCAGTAGAATCCAAGTGGTACAGTTTCATCGAGTAATATGGTGAAACAATGGAAAATTTATTATTTATACCACCAATTTCCTATAAATTGGAACTTAATTATAATTGATTAATCGATCAAAACCTTGAAGTTCATTCTCTGTCGATTGAAAATTCAATGAATGTATGGTATTAGATTTTAAATTTAATTAGAGTTAAATAGCTGATAGAAAACATATCGTTATTATTACATTATGTTACGTTATCGTTTAATTATCGTCGATATTGCATCACTTATTCACCCATTGAAATTATGTTTTTTGTTTTTTCTTCGTTAAATCCGTGAGAGAGGAGCGTAAACGTGTAGAATTGCTGGAGTTTTTTTTTTTCTCGTAATAATTGACAATTGTTAAAACCCTGAGACAATTGCAGATTTTAGTGTAATGCAGTTGGGCGTCTTCAGACGTTTGTAAATAAATAACGAAGACATTAAAAAAAAAATAGTCAAGAATTGCGAGAACAATAAGCGCATTAGCCTTTAGCAAAAATCAAGTATTACCAGTGCCCCTTGAAACCCCTCCTTCCCCAGCACCTCTTTATCTTGTAATCACTCTTCCATTACATATCAGGTTGTAAGCATCCGAAATTACCGTGTGTCATATCAATGTTCTTAAGTGTTAGGTTTCTTATTCACCAAATTTTTCTTTTGGTGAATATGAAAGTGTAGTAACTGTTACCCTCAGGAACAATTTTATGAAAATATAAAGAGGGATTGATGTCTCTGATGAAGGAAAGAATTAAAATTTCGTGTTCCTGAGCTTAAAATAAAAAAAAATCACCCTCTCCCCATACCCCTATTTTCCCAGATATCCTCGAATCCTAATCCAGACCCCAATTTAATGAAATAAATTAAATAATAATGGTCTTATGCTCTGTCTTCCCATCGCTGCGTCAAAAGACAAACTAGATGTAACGATAATTTGTTGATTATACAAAATACATATTATACATTAAATAATAGTTAATCAACAAAAAAAAACTCCAAGTACCGGGTTATAATGGGCTAAATAAATAATAGTGAATTAATTTTTAGTGAGAAATAATGAGTCATCGATTACGATGATTTTACGATAATTACACACATCACAAGTGATTCGATTAATTGGTATATGTGATTTTACGTTTTTACATTTGTTGGGATTGAAAATTTAATGAGAATACGTGAAAATAATTAATTGCCCATTGTGCCGCCGTACATATCTACGTATGTAATAAATTTGAATGTATTTCAAAAGCGGTAGAATGATATTTAGTACAATAACAATTCGCTCATACATATTACATTATAGTAAATAATGATGAGGAGGGAGAACAGAATACAGGAACAAATGATTGATTGAAATTAATTGAATGATTTTAATTAAATTTTCGACACTAATAAGATAATAAAACAGATATGAACACAGTCACTTCACTAACAATTGCGCGATGCATTAATAATAATTAATTAACTCTACGAATAAAAAAAATTCTGGATTAATGTGTGTATGTATATATATTTATACATTGATCTTACCAAAATTGCGATGAAAATTTTAATGAATTTGAAGAATTTAAGAAATTATCTTGTGTATAAATACATATACGTACTTTGCATTGTACTGTATGTCGTACGCTCTAATGTTGTTTAAAGAGTTATTTGCGAGTCAATTATCTGTGCCTAGCAGCCCTGAGCACCCTACCAAGTGTACCACCGTCTAGACGAGAAGAAAAATAATAATAATAATTCAAGTAACAAAAAAAAGCAAAAAGGAAAAAAAAGCGTAAAAATAATGAAAATAATAAATTTAAATGAAATAAATACTTGAGCGAGTGAGCGAGAACAATTAACGAAAGGAAGCGAGAGATTAAAGGGCAAATGTTGTGGAAATTTGAAGGGATAAAAACGGAAAATGAGATTGAAAAAATTCGGAGAAAACACCGAGGAGGTTGTGGTCTCGTGGGAGATGATGAGAGAAAAAAATACTGAAGAAATGAGAATTGCACCTTCTATACATAGTCAGCACAATGATCTGTTCCTATTTTGGAAGCAGTTTTTTTCGGATTTGCCAAGAAAATAAAAAATGTATACCTATGGTTTAGGTGACTAAAAATACATGAATGAAGTAAAAACGAAGAACAAAAATTATATATATATACAATATAATAATTTGAATGAGCATAAAAAGGTGAAGTTAATCCTCGATTGATTCACTTATCTTATTTATCTTCGTTGTGAGCTTTTTACTTCCCGTTCATTTGATGATTTAATTTATTTCCGTTTTTTATTTTAACGAATTAACACCATTCTAAGATTATTCACCTGGCATTTATTAATCACTCGTCACACTCACTCGCCAAATATTTAATTGATATATATCAATGATGCAATAGACATTTACACAGTGACAGTGACACTAAACAAAAAGAATTTTCAAGGGATAAACAACAAAAGTGAAGACAAAAATAAATGACGAAATGCAAATGAAGCTTTAGCTGCTAGCGACTAGTGAACAACTATTATTCTTGTGTAACTAAACAATAAGTTTTGAAAAACGATATAACCCGTACTATGAACATGCAACCGTACCAACATATACACTGTAACATTCATATTATATTAACAATATTATATAAACATGTAATACATACTCTTATAATATTCATTAATTGACACCCACATGATAACCAACAGGAATGATTATTCATACTCGAGAGTTTTTATCGATAACTGCAACTGAATTTATTCAATTTTTCCTTTATTTCTTCTGTTTTTTTTTTAACAAATATTTACAAGATTTACCTACACGATACATCATTCTTCATTCACTAGGAAATGATAATATCAAGCGTGTATTCATTTTTTCCTTTTTTTTTTGTTGAGATTATTGTAAAAAAAAAGTCAAGGGCACTTTGCTTATTTACAGAAGATGCTTTCACTGAAAGCAACAAATTAGTCGTGGAGTGGTGAAATGAGATAGGATTAGTCATGAGTCAGTAATGGAGTGCTTTATTTCATCCTCCGGATGAGAACTAATTCATTCAAATCAGATGAAAATGTCATCTCATCCGAAACTATATGTAGTCTTCAATCAATAATGCGTTTGCTTTTAAATAATTTTATCTGAAAACTTGGTAATTTTTCAGAGCAATTTGAATAATTTCACGTTAATTTGGAATTAATTTAAAGGAATAGTTCAATCCTTCACGTTTCACCGCTTCACTCAGCAAATATTCACGTAAAAAGGCATAGAAAGAGCTTGACGGAAGAAGTGTGGAAGGTTGTGTTGTGTTTGTTTGGGTGTTTAAAAGTTTCAGCGAGCCCTTTCCACACCTCTCAGTGCTTGAGTGGGTACACCAGGTGCAGGTAAGACACCCTCTGGACCACGCGCCTCAGGATCACCATTTGTTGCCTCCGCAGCCTTAAAACGCTTCCACTTTCCTGCATTGAAACAACCGTATCATAGGATAAAATTTCTAAATCTGCCACTTCAAATTCAAGTTGTTGCTTTTCCACATAAAAAAAAACTTTAAGGATGTTTTTTGCGGTCTAGCCGAAATTCGCCTTTTTTTTAATTTATCAAACCACAATCAACTCACTCGCTAAACGAATCATAGTGACAGCCCACCAGATGCTCCATCCCCAACCAACCAGGCAAAATAACACCGTAAAAGCCTGACTCGCTCCAACAATTATGTTGACAATCAGAGCACCGAGTCGACTCTTTCCACTGGCAGTCTGGGCAAAACGAGGCTGTCCAACGCATAAATTAAACAGACCACTCCAAACCGTACCTGAAAAAACAACTTACTTGTTCAATATCAATTGCGCAATTATCAAAATTTGCAAGTATTCCTATTTAAGGAAGTACAATGAGATTTTCATGATTTTACAAGAGATTTAACGTATTTAGATATCGTTCATTTTTCAATCGGGGCACCTAACAATTTTTTTATATTTTTTACAGAGATTAGTTTTGAAAATCCCCTATTTCCTGTATTTGTACTAACCAGTTCCCGGTAGAAGAACATTCCAAACGAGGCAGAACCATGCTAATGGCACCGGAAGACACGGAATTGCCCCTCGCATCACTGAATTGTGCTCCACAAGGACATCCGGAAGTTTTGGCTTCTGCGCCTGGAGCAATGACCAGTGTTAAATTGAGGAAAACAAAAACTGTTCATACTAATTTTCTCCTCGAAAGTCTCTAAGAGAATTTGTTTTTCTCTAATTCTGACAAATTAAGAATATTCTGCTCCTTTCAGGCAAAATATACCGTTGTTGCATTTTCTCATTATTTCACGGCTCACCGAATACTCGAATGCATTTCCTTTTCTTTTTATTTAAATGCCGCTTACGTAATATTTCAAATTCCCTACGACAAAAATTTCTAATTATTCCAACGAGTGGAATAATACAGAAGTATTTTTTTTACTTAATCTCCTCTCCCGCCCCTCGATTTTATGGATTAAACGAATCACCTCGGAAAGTGGTGGAGGTGCAACACTGGTCAGACTGTGTTTGGCACGTATATTTTTCGATCGTTCATCCTCACTGGATCGCCTGCAGCAGTTGCAGCTTAAACAGCTGCAGTTTGGCAGTCTGCACCAATTCCGATTGCACAAAAATCCACATGTCCTTTCTGGTCGACAGCAGGTGGTGGGTTCCGATGGTGCAACTCTCGTACCCCATCTGAAACCCCTGAAAAAGAAAAAAAAATTGTACCCCAGGAAGGCAAAAAAAAAAAATTCAAGATCCTAGATTCCAGTTTATTGATAAGATCTTGGCATAAAAAATATAAAATTAAAATCCAAACGACTCTAAAGCATACTTTCGGAAATAAATGATTGCAATGACTTCCTTATGCCGGATACTGTAAAATCAATACACCGTTAGAAAATAACTTGGAATTTCAAAGAAAAAACTTGAAATCTTTTACAACCCTCAATTCACATGAAATTCATCTCGAATTTTTAATTGAATTCTCCAATTAGTAAAAAATAAATTTTTTTAACCGTGAACTCCACGAATGTATCAAAAAAATTGGTGAAATGTGAAGAAACGTGGTTCCGTCAAAAAATTATAATAGAATGCCAGCAACGACCCCTCGACATCGTTTCAAATTACCTGGATAATGCAGCCCTGAACCTAGCGCACCTGGTAGGCTGATTACTCCTTAAATTGGCCCTCAAATTGGTTGCCTGCGCTCGCTGATTATCCTTGGCCCTCCCTCCAAGACACGTCATCCCCGACGACCTCCACCGTTGCCTCCAGCGCTGTCCGAGGGAATTCCTCCACTTCCTGAAGCGTCCAAGTCTTGTGAGATTCTGCTGTTCGCCAACCACTCGTCCACTGGTCTCCACAATACTATTAACAGTAAACACCACAGGTTGACCATCAATCACTGCCACCGGCTGAAGAAGACCCTTGGGCTCATCCTCGACACCCAAGTACCTCCTGACCCCGGATTTCTCTAGGAATCTCTTGCCCCCAGTTTTGCCGTAGCTATCAAGTGGCCCCGGGGACCACTTGCCAACCGATAAAAAAGACCCTTTCGCGTTTAGTCGCATTGAGTGGTTCCTCCAAACCTTCCAAATAGGAATTGCGGTGGCGAACTGAGCAATGGCAGAGGTCCGAGGTCCGAGGTTGGTCAGTCGTTATGATACCCGCTAAAGTCGTGTATAATGCTCTAAAGAGGGAGAGGGTAAAGTGTAAGAAGGACCTGGGGGAGTAAGTTTGCCAGTTGGTCACGCGAAGGGATTTTCCATCTAATCGATATCCACCCTGACTCTTGCCTCGTTTACTCTACCCAAACACCACTCATATCACCACTCTCACTCATTTTTCTTCAATCAATCTACTTCTTATTTATTACATTCCCACAAGTCACGCCCCTCGTGCTATTTGATAGGAAAATTGACATACTGATTGTTCGGGGAATTTCGATGATTGTTAAAAATAATCGATGAGCACTCGTGGAGAAATCTCAAAGAGGGTCAAACTAAAAAATGTGGGCTTGGCTTCTTTTTCTTCAGCGACCTTGGCCGCACGCGACGTCATGACGTTCATTTTGAGCTGTGCTTATAAACGCGTTATGCCACCACCAGCGATAAGACTCGGGTCAGAGAAAATTC